GCACACATGTACATCACACATTTTCTCCATTTGCTCTCTCCCATTTATTTCTCCATTCTTGTTCTTTTTCACCTTTTAGAATTTTTAACCTCAAATATCCATTTAGGATTAGGTTTTTGTAATTAAAGCATTCTATTTCTTGTTTATGTGTTGTTTAGGCCAAAAGCCATCAAAGAGGAGAGAAATTAAAGTCATTTATCTCTAAAATAGCCACCAATTGTAAAAAAAAATTGAAAATTCTGGATATACTTTGGCCAAATCTTGTGCGAAATTCACAACAAATTCAAATAGACAAATACAAATCATCAAAAGAGAAGATGAGAAACTCACCAGTGGCAGAAACCTGAAGGTCAAAGGAGAAGAAAATATTGCAAACGAGTGGAGGCGGACGAGACGACAGTCGGCACTCGACAAACCTGAAGGCAGAAGCCGAGATTCCAATTTTCCAATTAAACATTTGTACCTTTGTGTTAGACTATTAGGGTTCCGAGTTGGATAATGGGTACTTGGGTTTAAATTGAATTTGTTAACGAGCTAGAAATTTTGGGCCAAAAAAATTAAGTAATTAATGTAGAAAAAATCAAAAAATTATGGAAAGCCTAATTATTATTTAATTTATTATTTTTTCTAATGGTTAATCGGTTCGGTTCGGGGCGATGGCGTAAGTACCATAGCCGCCTCGCCCCGCCCCGAACTGGTTTATTAAAATCAAATATCACATCCGTCCCATTGCAACATCGATTCGATTTTTTTCGCTCCATTCGGTTCGGTTAACCGCGATTTTCAATTTTGACGGTTCGAATTGTCATCCCTATGAATGAATCTGATCAAATTGAAATTTTACACATCAAAGAGAAAATCAAGAACAACATCGTTTGTCTTTTACAAATTTAAAACAGAGAAAATCTAGAGCTACCTCGCCAATAAATATGAGGTAAGGGTATGAGCTACATCGTTTGCCATTCTTTAACTTTTCTTTTCTTTTTTATTGTTTTATTTAAATATGAGGTATATTTCTTATTTTACACGAGAAATTTGATGAAAATGATGATTTTCGCAATAAAATGTGAGGTAAGGGTAAAATTGTAAAAAATGAAAGGTAGAGACGTTTTGTACAATAACATTGAAATCTAATGACGTTTTGTACTAATTTCACTTTTTTGAAATTTGATTTTTTTATACATTCAATATCTGAGTTTAAGTCATGGTTTTGATATTCCGTGTTTGACTTATAGTTTTATCTTTACAAATTAAAATATGAAGTAGAGTAGTTCAATCATTTATAAAGTCACGATCATTCATGTATTTGATAAAATTGAAATTTTACTCATCAAAGAGAAAATCAAGAACAACTTCGCTTGTCTTTTACAAATTTAAAACAGAGAAAATCTAGAGCTACCTTGCCAATAAATTGACCATTTAATGTACTTTCGTTTGAGGAATAACAACTATTCAAAACGTGACATTCTAGTTTCGAAAATTCAAACATTTTTGGATTTCAACTTTTCAAGCTTTCACACTTCATGAACAGTAAGTCCACTAATTAAACAATTATTTCGATAGCTTTCGATATTTTCTTAAGAAAAATCTAAGAATTATTAGACTTGTAGTCATTGTTTCACTATAGAATAAAATTGAATAAACAAGTCCTTGCAATTATGTAGAAATAAGAAATAATTTTTTCACGACATTACTTTCAATCTATAAAGTATAAAATCTATACTTTAATAAGAGTACGTTTGATTATCAATATTTTTCATAAAAAATGTATTTTTCCACATAAATTCCTACTTTAATACTGTTTGATTGTTCTTTTTTCATGGAAAACATTTTCCTACTTTTGGGGTCACATGAACATATTTTTCTCAAAATCAATGAAAATATTTTTTTTTAGGGATAGTAGGATTTTTTTTTTTCCACGGAATTCATTCTCTCTTTTTCTCTCCCATCCATCCATCCACTATCTCTCATCTACCCCCAATAAAAAAATAGACAAATATAATATTTTCTAAATTGAAAATTAAATCAATCAAACAATTTTAGTTAACAATTTTCATGCAAATAAGTTCTAAACAATTGAATTATCTAAAATTTATTTTTTTCACGCAAATTCCATGTTTGCAATCAAATACACCCTTATTTTATTAATCAAGCATTAACGTCTCTAATTTAGCCTAACAATAGTTGTTGGTAATTTCAAATGGTGTGAACTCGAGGACTTGATTCTACTAATCTCCAGGAATCTATTCACATGAGCATGTCCATCTTCAAACTCATCTGCCATTTCTTATGGCGTTCATTTTATACACGTTTTAGAAATTGTAATTGTGAATTACGAAAGGCTTTCAGTCCCATCAAATGATACTTAATCAAATATCAAAACTTTTACTTGAAATTTAAAAATGATATTTAACTTTTTAAATGAAGAGCTAGCAATTTTAGGAAGACGAGAGAAAAATCTTTTTGATGTCCTTCTTCACCATATAATAAGAGGATTTACAATAACAAATGGAATTGCGTAATTCTCACATTGATGGCATACTAAAATAAATTTTTTCCAGTGAAAAATAATAATAATTATTTTTAGATATGTGATTGAAGGGTGAAGAAAAGTTACGAGTCTTATAAAATGAGTAGTTAAAAATAATTTTAAAAATCTTTCACAAACAAACCTTAAATACATAAGCGCTTTACTATTTAATCATGCTTTTGATGTTATCTTAACCATTCCAAAATACGTGCTCAATAAATTAATCCTGTAATATGACTTCTGAAAGTAGGGTTGCAAGTAAGAGTTAGTCATGCGTCGGCTTGGCTCATTTCATAATCGATTTGAGCTAATAAATTCTCATGAGAGCCGCTCGTCGACTCGCACGAATTAGCTTGCAAGTCGAGAGAGCTAGTTTGTAGTATTGATTCACAAGCCACTGTAGTCTGCATGATTGCCTTTTTAAAATTTTGGAACTTTTATTTTTCGGGTGTTGAATTCGAGTACGTAAATAGGATCATACTTTTAGAAATTTATCCCAAGCCCGAATAGAAAAGGAAAATTTTCACAACTTTAAATATCTTTTGAAAAATAATTTTTTCCTCATGATTTTATGTCTTCATTACATTACAAGGGTGATAATGTCAAAGTTCAATTTTTTTTTTTAAAATAATAATAATAATAATAATAATTTAGTGAACGACTAGCTAACTCTACTTGCCCATTGGCCGGAGTTTTGCAAATGAGACAATTTAACTTGTATAATGAATCGAACCTAGCCCATCGATCGATGAGCAGAGCATTTTCAACTCCGTCCACCCCTGAATGTAAACATGTTAAGTGATACGGACAATTGGCGCAGATTTCTTGACCAAGAGAATATGCTGAATTGAGGCTGGATGGATACACATTCAAATTAATATTAAATAAGGCCACTGCCATGCTTGAAAATTGAAAAATGTTAGGTGAGTTGCTTTCTATTTCTCTTCCTATACAAGAAAAACAAAACAAAATTGAAAGTCAATTGTCGACCCCATATATTACAACTTCTCGATGAAGACACCATTGCGTTCAACCAAAAGATAGAGAGAAATGACAAAGATGAGAACGCTTCAAGGCTGGCAGATCAAAGGTCGTAAGTTCGATTCCTGGAATGTTCTTGGAAGGCAGATATTCTCCTGGAAGGTAGGAGCTCTACTGAAAGATAAGGTGTAAAGATGGGAAACGACTTGCTTGGCACTTTGACAGACCAGTTGGGGGGCTCTTGAGCACTGATCAGTTTGGGGCACAACCTGCGGTTTAATTTGTCTGCAGTTTAATTTGTCTGTAACTTGAGGGGCCAAGGTGTAGACTCCAGAATTTAGTCACTGTAAGGTGGATACCTAGATATCCAAAAAAAAAAAAAAAAAAGATAAAGAGAAATGTGAGACAAATTTATATAGTTCAGTTTTTTCATAGGACAAATGCTAAAAACACACGACGTAACTCATTTTCTTCAATTAACTTACAGTCAGATAGTGGTGGTGCCAGTTCTTTTAAGTTTTAAATGCAAGTCATTTTACTTTTATTTAAAGGTTAAACCCTGTTTGATTTGGATTTGTGTGACACCTTTGGATAAGTAAATTTGATACTTAAACGTAAAAATACTTATTTTCATTAAATAAAATAAACTATTCAATTTAAAAATATTTCTTATAGAATTTTGCTAAGTGTACATAATAAATGTACATAAACGATGTCATAATATGATGTGAAGGGAAAATATTAGTTGAAAAAGTTGATTGTATATTAAACAGACAAATGATAGAGTGTCTCGTGGCATTATGAACATCTCTATATATATACTTATATATACCTGTAACACTACTCTTTCTTATAAGTAATTCTTTTAAACTCAGATAAACATCATATTATAGAAAAATCAACTAGTTGGTAGTTTGAAACTTTGAAAGAGTATTAAAGTGGCATGGGTGATGTTTCTAGAGAATAGTGCTATAAGTACATGAAATTTTCAATAGATTTTCAACAAATGTCTCTTTGTGATTGGTAGCTGCCAAAACAGTTTTTGATCGCTACCAATCACAGGGAGACATTTGTTCTCTGTTGAAAATCTAACAGATTTTCTGTACATGTTGCTTTATACATCTCAGTCGTCAAAAATTATTTTGACAACTGCTAATCACAGAGACATTTGTACCTATTGGAAATCTGTTAAAAATTTCCAGTAGGTGCAGCTTTATACGTCTCTGTATGACTTTCTATGGACCATCCAATCCATTCCTCTATTCTTCTATAAAATATCCCTCAACGATTTCCTCACAAGGAATTTGTAAATCTCCATATTCCAGAGGAGTTATGGTCTTCTTGTCTATAGAAGAAGATGAAAAAACCAATGGAAGTTGCTAAAATTCCTAACCACGATCCCGTTCATTCTCGCGTTTTTCTGTTTGGTTTCTATTGCTGGGATTGGGAATTCCTCACTGCTCTATTGCTCTTTAGTTCTTCCTTTTAATTTTTACCAGTTTTTTTTTTTTTTTTTTTTTTTTTGTGAATAGTTTTGGGGTGTTGAGTAGTTATGTCGCAGAGAAGTGTTCCGGCTCCTTTTTTGACGAAGACGTATCATTTGGTGGACGATCGGAGCAGCGATGATGTGATTTCTTGGAATGAAAGTGGTACAACGTTCGTGGTCTGGAAAACTGCTGAATTTGCTAAGGATTTGTTGCCTAATTACTTTAAACACAACAATTTCTCCAGCTTTGTTCGCCAGCTTAATACTTATGTACGTTTCTTTTTCCCTTAATCAATCTTCGTGTTTATATGTTTTGTATGCATGTTTAGTTAACTCATTTTTTTGCTGATATCTCTGAATTTCAATTCAGTTCATGCTTATATTGATCCAACTATATATTAATAATCAGTTTTAGAAATTGTGTTCGATAATAATTAATGAATCTTCCTAATGTTAAGTTTGTTTGAAAGGAAACTTGACAAAATGAAATTTGTCAATATACTAATCTTATGTTAGGTTTGAAACATTGAACCATTTGTTGAAAAGCTGGACGAAATAAATAACGTGCAATATAATTACTTATTAATCTTATCACTTCTACCAAAGGAAATTAAGGGCAAGTTTTGATGTAGATTTTTTATAATAAATTTTAAATTTATTGAAATAATATGTTGTTAAAAATGAATTTGGAAGAAAAATGGAATGTGAATCCAATAAGTCCACTTTTGTAGGAGTGATTTTGAGAATTGATTTTTTCACCGTCAGGAGAAAAGTGGGGTCCATCTGTGAGAGAAGAAGTCAAATATGACGGTCAGAATAGTGAAATAACAGTAAAAAAAAATCAATTTTTTGAGTGAAAAAATCGCTTCCAAACAGGCCCCTAATAAGGTAGCCGGACCCGACAAGTAGTTAACAAGCTAAAAAACAAAGGGCAACTTGAGAGTTGTAATAAGTTATCTTAGACAAATTCACTTAAATTCACCAATAATGTTGGTTTTCAATCTTGTTTGGTAAAAGATACCATTTCTTTCATGGTAAAATAAGGGTTAAAAGTAGAGATATAATGACGGGTCCGTTTGATAAAAAATTAATAAAAGTTTAGTAAATTTGGATAAAAGTTGATAAAACGTATTGTTGAATAATTGATAGAAATTGTGAAATTTATGAAACATGCGGTTAAAATTGAAGTTTGATCATTTTTTCAAGTGATGAATTTTTAATAATTTAAGTTTGATTAGTTGAAAAGTGTTAACAAAGTTTTATCAAGTAAGCACCAAAAATCATGGAAAGAACCCTATAAATTTCGAAACATGCTATATAAACAGGCTTGGAGACAGATTTAAAACTGGGGGAGGTACGTGTGTACTCGGGATTGGAAAGTTTGAAAAAAATAAAAATAAATAACATCCTATCATTAATTTACACACCGGATTATTTCCTACAATTCCATTTTTTGAGCCTGTTCAAAAGGAATTATTCATCAATTTCGTAGACTTTTGTCTTCATTTTTCAATAATTGAATAGTAGAAACTTCCAAGATTGAACTTCGTTTTCACACCTACCTAGTGAGGTTTAAAGGACATTGATAGGACCCTTCACCGCGTGATTAAGGAAAAATATTTTGGGTTAGGCCGAATAGTTACTTTTCTTTATTTATGATATATTTGAGATATTGATTCAGACCCTTATACGAAATGTGTGAAAAAAATGATTTGACCGAATACGAATAATTTATAAACATAGTGAAAGATAGGGTAGACGTGCCATATGTTTTGGTCAATATTTGTTGCTGCCAAACTTGGGGTTTTCGAATATCTATTAGATTGGGTTATGAGAATTGATTTTTTAATCGTTAAAAAAAAGTGAGTCTCATCTGTGAGTAAAGAAGTAAAAAATGACAGCTAAAAATAAAATAATAATCAAAAAATTGATTTTTTGGACAAAAAATTGCTAAGAAACAGGGCTAAATTAAATTCATTTTTTAAGAGACAGAAACTCTTCCAAATTGGTTTTATTAGGTAAAATGAGAGAGAGAGAGAGAGATTAATGGGTGGGCCATGGGCTTGAAAATATGGAATTCGGTCTGTGTTTGTCTGCATCTGTGTTTATGACCTATATATATTAGTGGTGAGTTGTGGCCGAAAATAGCGTTCAAACTTCCATTATTTTTTGTTTGATTCAACGGCTGGAAAGTATATTTGATTATTTTCTCATCCAGACTTTTCTAAACTTGACGTGGCAGTTGGGAATTTATGGTGGAAAGGTACAAATATAGGTGGTAGTGGTCAATTTCATGTGCATTTAGTCCTACCATTGGTAATTTAAATGTTTCTTTGTGGTAGGTTTAGTCCATTATTTGGTCCCATCAGCACGACTGAACTTTTTGTATGGTCATTTATGCGAATAAAGTTCAGACAATACACTGATATGCTCAAACATTGTGGCATATCTGAATTAGATCTTCTTTTCTATAGTTATATGTGGTATGTAGCTTAGTCCAACAATATAAATATTATCAAAAAGAAAAAGAAGTTAAAAATAAATACTTAATTGAAATATTAAGCTAATTAAAGTTGTGCAATAATGAGTTAGGAATTGGGTTGCTGTTGCTTACACAAATTTTCAGGGTAGGGTAAGTAATGAGTTTGTTCCAAGAAATTATGAGTCAAAATGGTAACAAATACCCTGTGTTGTTTATTAGGGCTTTCGAAAGATCGTTCCAGACAAATGGGAATTCGCCAATGAAAACTTCAAGCGTGATCAGAAGGAACTCCTGATTGAAATTCGTCGACGAAAAACGGTACCTTCACAAAATCCAGCAGGGGAAAAGAATGTGGCAGCCGATAGCCGAGCCTTGCCAGAGAACTCTGGGGATGACCTTGGCTCAAGTTCGACCTCATCTCCCGACTCAAAAAATCCAGGGTCATTAGAAACACAAACATCAGCACAACTTGCAGACCTATCAGATGAAAACGAAAAATTGAAGAAAAACAATCATATGCTATCTTCGGAGCTGGCTCAAACCAAGAAACAATGCGACGAACTCATTGCCTTCTTGACTCAATGTGTGAAGGTGGCGCCAGAGCAAATCAACCGGATCATGAACGGTAGTGCCCCTATTATTGACGAAGCTGGTCCATGCAGCAGGGGCATGAGTGATGGGAATACTGATATTGACGATGACGAAAATGTAGAGTGTTTGAAATTGTTTGGAGTGATGGTGAAGAAGAAGAGGGGTCGTGATGAGAATCCTGATTTCTCTGAGGTACATAAAAAAGAGATGAAAAGAACTGTTGAGGTTGATGCGCCTTGGATGAAGATTTCAGCGTCTTCCGGGGAGAATAGCAAGGTTTATAATTGACCATCTATTGTGTACCAAGCTTTCGTGAATAGTAAAGAAAACAATAATACTCATATGGCACACTATGCAGTCTCAAAAGGAAATTGAAGATACGTAGAGAAACTTTTGAAACCGTAAAGTTGGGTTGTTGTAAGGTCATCACTCATCAGAATGGAGTTAGGATTGGTAATTTAGTGCAGCTTAGCCGGCTTATTTGAGTGGGAAAATCAAAAGCAAATTGGTTTCCCAACTTATTTCATATTTATACGTTGTGTATGATCTTGCACTCTTGTAAACCAAAAGCTTAGGGTTTTGCAATTTGCAATTAAACTATGAAATGTTAAATAATAAAAGAGCTCATAAATAATTGTAATGATTTTCCTTTATATATATATATATATATATGCCTTGCCGGTGTCCTTATTGTGAGTGCCATTAATTTATGATTTATTCTTTAAGGCTGTTAAATTGAAATTTAGATGGATTTTGGTGTTCTACATTCAATCGAGAGATGAACATGCATGTTTGAATTTGGAATTTGAATAAAACACAACATCACTTGAACAAAAAGAAAGCCATCATTTATAATTTATTGATCGTTAGCAAGTTTGTGCCTAAAAATCTGTGCATAACTTTAATTTGAAATTCAGGTTGTAGTTGTAATCCCTCGCGAACTAGGGATCAAATAATTAAGAATAGACCACAATTAGTTTGAGCTTTCCACATTTTTTGGACAAGAAGTATATGCCCAAATTATAAGTATGTTTGGATCAACTTATTGCTAGCTTATTTTGATCTAAGATGTTTAATAAATACGTAGCCATCAACATAAATTACCTTTAATAATTTCTCACATTGTTGCACACAAATTATATTAGAGATATTTATCAATATTTTTCTCATGGTGTTGCACACAAATTAGAGTTATACTCCATATACAGAATATTTTTCACAGATTCTTTATAGGTATACAGTTGCCAATTTTTCATTGGCAGTTAGCAAAATGGAGAGAGAAAAAATAAAAGAGAGAGAGAGAGAGCTGCCAACGTGGTGCTGCGTTTTAAAGATTCTGTGGAAAAAAGCCTGTACACATGGCTTTTTTCGCACAAATTATATTAGAGATATGGTGATTTTTGTGAATGTGCTAGAAGTGTACAAATGTTTATTCCCTTGCTGTCCTCCAATTAAATCTTGTTACTTCAAAATTATATTGATGTTTCAAAATTTCTTTGAGAGAAGGCCAAGAGGACGACAAATCTAGATGGTATGAATGAATTCTAAACCAATGGAAAGCGAGGTTATTCATGAGTGGAGTTGAACATATTTTTTCAAAGTTGTTAAGAGATTTAAATTTTGCAATTAATTTGAATTTTGGATCTAAATATAAATGATTTTGATGATTAGGTACTTTAGAAGACATTTAGGTCTCGGTTAGCAGAGCTCTTGTAAAGTTAAAAGTTGTTTTTGAGATTGAAAAATTGCTTTTAAATATATTTAGATAATTTTCGGAAAATATTTTGTCTCATTAACAAAACTATTAGAGAACACTAATTTAAAGTAACGATCTTTGAAAACTCTTCTAAAAAAAATAGAAACAAAAGTAAAAATCTCGAGAAATGGATAGTTAAAAATGCCCAATAAAGGGTCAAACAACCATAAACAAAATGAAAATTTTAGTAAGCTAATGTATCTCCCCCCCCCCTCCAGGTGTCCATCTTACAACGACTAATCCTGGAGTTTACGATCCAGTCCCTCTTTACACAAACCAGGTAAATCACGGGTTGTGTCCCAGATTGACCAAGGTCCAAGAGTCCTCCCAATTGAACTGTCAAAGTTTCGAGCGAGTCAAACCCATGTATGCGCCTTGCCTACCAAAGAACTCCTACCTTCCAGGAGAAAGTCTTGCCTTCCAAGCGCCCCATGAATCGAATTCGCGACCTCTGAACTGACTGTCTTGAAGAACTCCGTCCTTTGCTAGTTGGGATGTGCCCAGGGGCGGTAAGCTAATGTATCTTGCTTTACCGTTGGGGAAGTTGAAGAAAAGTGGAAAGAGTAACCGAGATTAAAGACGGTGAAGTACTGAGGTTATAGAAATGTGTTTCAACGATGTTGAAATCTTCATGGCGCGCTTACTCTCGTCTCTCATCCAATTCACGGCAGCTCACCGAATATTTTCTATCTACACTTCCCTTATGCCGGAGAATTCAAGACTTGAAGACCTTAAAGTCTCTCCTAATTGTTCATGGCTTAATCACGCACCAACCGCTGATTAAACAATTCATTGACCATTGCTGCCATCTGAGTTTTCTAGAATTAGCTCTTTCCACTTTCAAAATAATCGAGAAGCCGAGCCTGCCTTTGCAGAATTTATTAACTAGGAGTCTGTGTGATAATAGGCTGTTTGACCACGTGTTGTTTGTCTATCAGAAATGTCGAGGTTCAGGTTGCCTATCGGATAATTATACTTACCCTTTTGTGCTCAAGGCGTGCTCCGCTTTGGTTCATGTTAATTTTGGTCAAACGATCCACTCTGCTATTTTAAGAACTGGTTTTGAAGAGAACGTGGTTATACAAACTGCCCTGATAGATTTTTATTCAAATGTTGGCGAAATCGTGAATGCGCGTGAATTGATTGATAGAATTACTCACCCAGATTTGGTTGCTTGGAACGCCTTGATTTCTGGTTATTCTTTTAATGGGTTTGATCGAGAGGTTTTCAAGGTTTTCCAGGAGATTCGTAATATGGATTTTAAACCTAATGTCAGCACTTTGGCCAGTGTGATTCCTGTTTGCTTGCATTTTGGTGTTCATATTGGTTACTCACTCCATGGATTTGCATTCAAATGTGGATATTCTACTAACGAGTCTTTGGTGCCTGCCTTTATTTCGTTGTATGGTAATTCTGGGGAGTTGTTGGCTGCTAGAAATATATTTGAGTCTTTGATGACAAAGAATGTAGCTGTATGGAATGCAATGATATCTGCTTATTCAAGGAACCAGAAATCCTATTGTGCTGTTGAATTGTTTCAAAGAATGCTATTAGATGATCCGCGGCCTAATATTGTCACTTTTGTGTCTGTAATTCCCTCTTGTGAAAATCATGGCAGCATTTTTCTTCTTGAATCCTTTCATGCTTGTGTAATAAAATCCGGATTTGAGAGACATATCTCTGTTGTCACAGCCCTTCTATCAGTGTATGCCAAACTTCAACATGTAAATTCAGCTGAATATCTTTTTAAGACCACCACCCCAAGAAATCTTCTGTCATGGAATTCAATGGTTTCTGCATATGTAAGCAATGGACTCTGGGATGCGGGTTTGATTGCATTTCGTCAAATGCAGATGGCAGGTTTTAATCCAGATTCAATCTCAATTATTAGTATCCTTTCTTTGTGCTCGGAAAAAGGGGCAGCGCTGCCCGGAAAGTCGGCCCATGCATTTAGTCTTAAGCATGGAAATGATGTGAATCTCAATGCGTCCAATGCACTGTTAGCATTTTACTGTGACTGCAGAGAGTTGGCCTACTCATGCAAGATATTTATGAGAATGATTGAGAAAAATCTCGTTTCATGGAACACAATGATTTCTGGATGTGTAGATAATGGAGAAGCAGAGCAAGCAATGGCCTTTTTTCGTCAGATGAGGCAAGAAGGTTTTCACTTTGACATGATTACCTTAATAAGCATCCTTCCCTCTTGCAATGAGTGTGAAAATTTAGCTTTAGGGTTGACAGTTCATGGCTATGCTGTAAAAACTGCACTAACAGCTGATATTTCTTTAGCTAATGCTCTTATTAGCATGTATATTAACTGTGGAGAGCTTGACGCGGGATGTTTACTCTTCGAGTACATGCCTAATAAAACTGTCATTTCTTGGAACGCTCTTATGACTGGCTATCGATATCATGACTTACAAAGTGACATCATTTTTTTGTTCACTCGAATGGTCGAGGAGAATCAAAAACCAAATTATGTTACCTTGCTGAATGTATTACCTGCATGCTGCAGCCTTCTTCAGGGAAAATCAGTTCATGCTTATGCTTTTCGAACGGGTATTGCACTCAAAACTCCTCTTCTTACATCTCTCATGATCATGTATGCTAGATTTGAAGATGTAAGTTCATGTTTGATGCTGTTTCATATGGGAGAAAAGAGGAATATATCCGTTTGGAATGCTGTTATAACTGCACATCTACGTTCAAATAATGCCAGAACAGCATTTTCTTTCTTCCTTGAGTTGCTCCGAAGGGAGATTGAGCCTGATGTTGTAACCATTCTGAACCTCATTTCTACGTGTCTTCAATTGAATAATCAGCATTTGACAGATTCCATTTTGGCTTATCTATTCCACAAGAGCTTCGACAAAGATGTGGCAATAAGCAATGCGTTGATCGACCTGTATGCAAAATGTGGTAGTCTTTCTTCTGCAAGAATGCTCTTTGATGCGTTGCCGCAAAAGGATACTTTCTCCTGGACGGTTATGATTAATGGGTACGGGGTGCACGGTGATGGTGAAGCTGCACTCGAACTTTTCTCACAGATGAGAACTAGGGGTTTTAAACCGGATAAAATTACTTACATGAGTATTCTGTCGAGTTGCAGCCATGCTGGTCTTGTCGAACAAGGCAAGACTATTTTCAGCTCGATGATACAAGATGGCATATTGCCTGGAAATGAACATTGTGCGTGCATGGTCGACCTTCTGGGAAGAACAGGGAATTTGAATGAGGCATATGAACTTATCCAGAATTTACCGCAGAAACCTTCTTCGAATATACTAGAATCACTGTTGGGTGCTTGTTTAAGTCATGGAGATTACGGAGTCGGGGAGGAAATCGGTAGTTTGCTTCTGCAAATGAAACCCGAAGATTCTACGCCGTATGTGATTCTTTACAATGTATATGCAGCAGCAGGGAAGTGGACGGATGCCAGTAGGGTGAGATTGGAAATGGAGCAGAAACAAATAAGAAAAATAGCAGGGTTTAGCACCTTTGATTGTGCTTGAATTTGAGAAATTTATATTTTAAGTTACTTATTTTCGGTTAAATTTATGTTGATAATTACTTGTATACTAGAAAATGTTATTTTTTAGAAAGTTTAAAGCAGGTTCTTGTTGTGCTGTGAGGGTAAAATTTCATCGGCCATCGTCAAACTTTCTCAACTATGTCACTAAATTTTGATTTGTCAACAAACTTCAATCTAATTTCAAATTTAATCACGATCACTTTTTTGTCTCTTATCATCTCCCAAACTAATGAAAATTACTTTGTTAACCATACAATTGCTGATCTTCTTTGTAATAGCTCCACTGCACTGTACTTTAGAAATAAAAATAGTAACATCAAGGTCATGGATTGAATCATCACTAATTTAATTTAGAAGCAATTAGTTCTAAAGAAATGCCAATGTATCCATCCTAGTCATCAAACTAATAAGTAATAACATTGCATATCATTGAACTTTCACCCTACTTACAATTGAGTCACTAAACCAATTTGCAATAGTCGTTGTAACTCATGCAAACCCACTCTAGCAACTTTAATGTATAAACAATTTATTTTAGTATTTATTAATGTATCCATAAACTACTGAAAATTATATGGGAATCAAGACTCATGCTTATAATTTTATATATTTAAATCAATAGTAAGTAACTCAATTTTAAAATGGAAAAAAATTGATGCGACATCAAGTACCCAATTGAAATATAAATTGGGCAATACAAGGAAAACTCAGCATATTTTTCCTTCAGAAAACCAAATATTAAAAGAAAAACGCGATGCAATAAACAAGAATCGTAAAGAAAATTGAGAAATCGGTTAGATAGGGATGCCACATAGAAGGGAGAAAATGATATGAAATCCTATATTATAGTCACTGACACAAGCAGTGTAAAAGATTTTGGCATAAATAGGGTTATCTTTAGCATGAGCAAGAGGACCGAGATGGGCAAATACTATGCACGATTAATAATTTAAGGTTAATTAACTTTAGCGATTGAATGGATTAGGAAATACTTTAAGGACCAAGTTGAAATTTTGCACAAATTTTATCCATTAGTAAAATTAGTCCGATAATTAGATAGAGTCGAGAGATTCAATTGAGAAATCAGAGAGGGGATCCAAAGGATAATGGAGCCTGGCAACATGGTGGTCCAAGGGAAGAAAAGCAATTGAAACTAGGTTTGATTACTCAAAATTGAATTTAATAGCCCAATTTAATGATCTGACTGCTTACAAATGGAATTTATACCCCAATTGTATCTAGCTTGAAAGATCAATGACCTCCCATGTAATTAATCTCTTTTATTTTAATTAACGGTAAATATTGATTTTATGATTATGCTATTTGTACATAAAAATGGTACGTAAGGGATTACAAAAAATGATGTGGATGAAAAAGTCGACTATGTTGACAAATGATAAAGTGACATGTAATATTATATAATCAATTATATAAGTTTGATATACATATAGCAATGTCATTTATTTTATGATTGATTGCTAATTAAGTAATTTTTATGGAAGACAGTTACCAGTATTAATTGAGATGTTTCTAGAATTTAAATGGACACTTCAGACAGTATAGATTTGTCTGGCATTCTTCAGTATAAGAAATTTGGGGGCGGACTGTTGATCAGTGGGTCACACTTCATTTTCATACAAATAACGGCTAGATAAAACTGGCAGAGACTAATTTCCCTCCTTTCTCCCATCCCAGTCAAGTCTTTTCGCCTACCATTTATTTATTCAATTAAGTAATGAAAAGCAACATTCACAAAATCAGTCGTGATTGCTGTACAGGTAGGGATTCCGACTGACAACTCACATTTGAAGGGTGAGTGGGTAATTTTTTGACATTATTTATTTATGCGAGGCCCACGCCATTGTGAGACATCTGTATTTCTTCTGTGAATTTTTTTTTTTTTTTTTTTTTTGTACACAAAGCATTAATCTCAGAAAATATTTCAATACAAGGACAACAGACCGCACGCCTTATTTAGCTCCTGTTTGGTGTAATTTAAAATGCTCTAGAAGGATGTACGTTGCATATTCATAAAATAATTTTCATGTTTTTTGAATGTTATAAAGCTAATAATTCAATTTAAAATAAATAAGAAATTAATTTAAGCTACATAAGAATAAATTATATAAAATTTATTTTATACATTTTTTTTACTTATAACTGTCGATGAGTCGTGGTTACTGACGAAATGCTTCATTAGAGTGACTCTTCGAGAAGAATTGCAAAAGTCTATAGCTTAGGGTAATCATGCTATTTCAAGCAAAAAATTGAAGTTTATATGTATACCAGTCAAAGTTGAACGTGTAATGAATGCTTTATTAGTGCTGCAAATGTAATATTTGATGACAATTTATTGGAAGGATTTTGACTAGTCTTAAATGAATTATAGAAAATAAAATTTATGATAGAAATTTATGAGAAGAAAATTGTACTCTCAAAAATTAAAACTCGACTTATGCTATTCAATTTTTTCTATAAAGATGAAATACTACAAATGAACAACATTTTTATACTATATTTAACACGTAAGAATTAATTGCTAATAAGTGGCGATGGTGGAAAAACTTTTAAATGTCAAATTTACCCCTACATATTTAACGATATGCCCACTATACCTTCATAATTGGAAAATCAATTTAATTAGTATTTATCATTTGGTTTAGAATTAATATAATACAAGGAGTGAAATATTTAATTGATATTTATCATTTTGGATTGGAATTAATATAAGAAGTGAAACTAACATTCAATTATATCAAAAAAAATGAATAAATAAATAAATCGGTGACATACCATTTAATTGATCATTTTGTTCTTACAATTTTTATTTTCCACCAGCAATTAGTTTTTATTTTTCATCAACAAAACCCTTATTAATCTTCATGATTTACATTATAATTCATGCAATGAGTTTTTATTTTTCTTCAACGGAGCAATTTTTAATCTTCATGCTTTACATTATAATTCATCCATTAAGTTATTATTTAATTAAGGTTACAAATATTTTAAAGGTTGCATTAAATTATTAATGAGGACATTCGATGAATAAAAAGGAAATTACACATGGAAATTCAATGACTAACATTCAATTGATTTTTTTCTTTACAATTTTTAATTTTCATCAACAAAGCCCTTATTACCAATTTAATTAATATTTATCATTTGATATAGAATTAATATAAATGGTGAAATATTGAATTGATATTTATCATTTGGGTTGAAATTAATATAATGAGTAAAACTGAAATTCAATTATTAAAAATATAATGATGATAAACCAATATAAATTTAGTGACTTATCATTCAATTGAGTATTTTATTCTTACAATTTTTATTTTCCATCAACAAAGCAAAATTTCATTTTTCATCAAGAAAAATCCTTATTATTCTTCATGATTTACACTATAATTCATCCATTGAATTTTTATTTTTCATTAACAAAGCAATTTTTATTTTTATCAACAAAGCCCTTATTAATCTTCATGATTACATTATAATCCTTCCATTAGGTTATTATTTAATTTAATTGAGGTTACAAAATTGAAACGTTGCATTAATGTATTAATGAGGTAACAAATATGCTAAATGTTGCTTTAATATATTAACTGGGACATTTGATAACTAAAAAAAAAAAAGGAAAAAGGAAAAAAAAATTACACATGAAAATTCAATGGCTTTCGATTGATTAACTTTTCCGTCCATTTTTTATTTTTCATCAACAAAACCCTTATTAATCTTCATAATTTAAATCATAATTTAAGCATTAAGTTATTATTTAATTGAGGTTGCAAAATTGAAAGGTTGCATTAATATATTAATGAGGTTACAAATATGTTAAAGTAAATAACTTCTAATTATTAGGGCTTTTAAGATTGCAATAATTCTTTCTACTGCCAATCACTTTTACCCTATGTATGAATGATTGGGAAACATTCAATTGATTATTTTATTCTGAAATTTTTTATTTTTAATAAACAAAATCCTTATTAATCTTCATAATTTACATTAAGTTGTTATTTAATTAATACATATCATTTGGTTTGGAATTAATATAAGGAGTTAACTGACATTCAATTACTAAAAAAAATATTAAACGAAAATTTAGTGACTTAATATTCAATTGACTATTTTGTTCTTAAAGACTCTTCTGTGGCAAAAAAGAATTAAAATGGGCAAGTCCAACTTTACATTAATGGCAAACATAGGTTTGACGTATTTTGATTAACAAAGTAATATTATTTATTAACTTTGGCAATTAGATAATATAATTATATTTAAATATTTAAAAAAAAGGCCAAATAAGGATTTAGTATGAAAGTAATTATGACCATTATAGTCAACAAAACACAACCAACCTTTCTCATTCTACCCCATGTCATCATAGCTATAAAACCAACATTGCTCATTCTATTCTATGCTCAAAATTCATAAGTAAAAATCAGCACAAAAGGGTAAGAACTATTGTTAATAAACGCAATTTATCTTATGCTACAGTTTCTCAAAATCTATTTATAAGTTGATGATCACTGTGAAGTTTTTCCTTTTTTATTATCATTTATCTTGATTTGCATTTCAAATTGATTTCTAATATTATGTATTTAATTGTATCACTAACTTTTTAATTTTGAATGACGGCAACATCACAAATGAATACATCATCGTCGAAATCATTAACAGAAATGAGGTTTGATTCATCAATAGATCAACAAAATAAGTTAGGTCATCAATTTAATTTGAAAAATATTAACTTTTTTCCATTTCGTTAATTGTTAATATATATTTTTGTCGTCATATCTTAAATTTGTTTTCATATTTTTAGGATTGATGTCACCAAACAAAAGTTGCAATTGTATTTTTATAAAACAACTAATTGCCTTTGAAGAAGAGTTGATTATAAAAGTATCCATATTCCGAAAAGGTTCCATCGAGATCTACAGCAACAAAAAATGGCATTGTTGAAGTTTTAAAACTAATTTTGTGTGATGATGAGGTATTGCATTATGTTAGGATAATGTTTCTTATAGAATTTTCACTTTAGACGAATAGTTTTTTTTTTTAATAATATTTTTAGGGTAGGAAGATTCAAGCTACGTTGTTTAAGGACACAACCGAAAAATTCTTTCCCATGCTTGAGAAAGAAAAAATATACCGACTTTGAAATTGAAAAATAAGAGCAATCAACCTCCAATATACAAATGTGATTGATGAAACTTCAGAATTACACTTGATCAATGCAATGTTCCAAAATTTAACAGAAAATACAGCTTCTTCTGATTCTATGACACAACATGGAATTCTTTCAACTAAAAATGAGTATGTTGACATCCTCAATGACAAACTAATTGGGTTATTTCCTGGAGAAAGTGACGAATTTATTAGCTTTGACGACGCAATAGATGATACAAACCAATTTTATCCAGAGGAGTTTGTTGCCAAATAGTATCCCACCACATAAGTTAATCTTGAAAAGAAATTGTGTAATGATGCTTTTGAGGAATCTGGACCCATCCAACGATCTTTGCAATGGAATAAGAATGATTTGTCGTGATTTCAAAAAACATATTATTCATGCAGAAATAATTGTCGGACAACATTCTTGAAAACAAATCTTCCTTCCACGCATCCTATTAACTCCAGTAAATGATGAAGGATATCCATTCAAATTCAAGAGGAAATAATTTCAATACGTTTATGCTTTGTAATGACAATTAATAAACATCAAGGACAAATATTGCCTACTGTTGGAATATATCTTCCTGAACATGTATTCTCTCGTTGGCAACTATATATCACACTTTCTCACGGAGTTTCAATACAAACAACAAAAGTTTTAGTAAAAGCAAAAGATAAAAAGAATAAAAGATGTGGGACCTTGACAAAATATTGTGTACAAAGAAGTATTATTGCAATCATATCATTATATTTTAATTTATTAAGCATTTTCACACTATTATTTTAAAAAATAGTATTAGTAATTCAAAAATAGTACATATATCATTCATCGATACATAAGGCGTGCAACGTACGTGCTTACTACTTGTAAATTTAAATTCTTATTAAAAAATTTTGTGATGATAGAATACTACAAAATCAAATTTTTATACTACACTTGGCACATACGTTGCACACCTTATCACATATTGAAAAAAAAAAGTAAGACATTAATGAAATAATTGAATTGTAGTGAGAATAAAACTATCCAAAAAATTATTTTCACTTGATGTGATATTTAACAATAAAGCCATGAGTACAGGAAAAATTTAACAAAACTTACACCAACACTAACGTGGCAAAATATGATTGGTTATTTTCTTTCCTTTTTTTTCTCGTCTTCCAATGATGTCACGCCATCTTTTATCTGTAAGAGTTTTCTATCATATAATTCTGTACTTGTAGCATTATTGGATATTTAATATATTATAAATTATAGATATTACACATCAATTTATTAGTTTAAAACAAATTAAATTCAAATTTTGCGATTCACCATAAATTTATCAACTAATAGATTAATGTATTATGTTGTAAGCGCTTAACGTTAGTCACCAATACCCAATAAATTATTTTTTAGAATGTGAATTTATATTTAAAATTAAGAGAATTTTGTGATGACATATTCTTGCAAATTTAAAAACTTTTATCAAGATATAAAAAATAAAAATAATAAAAATTCTCAAGATTAAAGAGTTTCCGATCCAATTCCTCCACCACCGCGAAACCCAGTTAGATTCAAGCACCAATCCTAAACCATCCCAGAGTCTGTGGGCAGTCGCATTCACAGCCGAATTAAACGGTCGTCCATTAACTTTTACTGTATTGATAAATTTGATTTCTTGAAATGCATATAGTTGAAAGATTTGGTAGTAGAATTTAAATTGAATTTTGTAATAAATTTAGTCCAGTACAGTAAGATGAATTAGTAAGATAAATATAATTCAAATTCAACATAATTTCAAAACGACTTGTTTGGAAAGTATGCAAATTATAACTATTTTTTTTGTCAAATCAATTTTTATTCATTCCAAAAATTCACAAGTATTACTTTTTCATCCACTCCTCATTTTTATCTATTTATAATTATTAACAATTTCCAAACATGCTTAAAAATTTGAATACAATGTAGAAATTTAAATGCAATAATTTTAGGGTGTGTTTAATTGCAAGCATGAAATTTACATGGAAGGAAACTAAATTCTAAGTAATTAAATTGCCTTGAAATTATTTCAATGAAAATTGTCAATTACTATATTTTGATTGATTTTATTTTGAACCTATAAAATGCTATACTTGTCTATTTTTTATTGGTAAGTAGATGTGAGAGAGAGGGAGTATATGAGAGAGGAAGAGAGAGTGAATTATCTGAAAAATAAAAACTACTCTAAAGAAAATATTTTTTTTTTTATTTTCAAGGAAAATGTGGTCACGTTACAAAAAGTATGAAAATATTTTTCATGAAAAAAAAATCAATCAAACGGCACAAAAGTATGAATTTGGGTAGAAAAATGACATTTTTCAAAAAAAATATTGTCAATCAAATTCGCTCTTAAAATTTTACTAAGTATACACCGAGGTTGATAGCCTCTCACAATGGAGGCCCACGATCTTTTTTTGGGCGTGGCCCCCTCTTATGAGGGGTCTGTACAATGAGGTGTCAACTTTGATATACAAACAACAAAACTCATAATTCTAAGTATTAAAATATTTGTACAGACAAAGTGTAGGCCTTAATTGACACTTCTCATGTGTCAAAAATTCAACTTTGGGGCTCGTTTGCTTAGGATAAAGCTACTTTATTAGAATGATTTGACAAAAAGTTTGACATAATTATATATGACAGTTAATAATTTGATGAAAAAGCTAATTGTATTTTAAACTATTCAATTATGGATAAAGCTACTTTATCAGAATGATTTGACAAAAAGTTTGACATAATTGTATATGATAGTTAATAATTTGATGAAAAAGCTAATTGTATTTTAAACAGTTCAATGATAAAATGTTACGTGACATTATGTTAAACTTTATATCAACTTTGATGTTAATGTAACATGATTGCGTTTGCTCATGTCTAAAATCTATACGTGGAGCACAGACCAATTAATGCACGCCAACAAACATAACATAAGAAGCGTGTCAGCAACTTTGTTCCATCCACAAAAGTTGTCGCTTGATCGCACGCGTTTCACTTTCATTTGGTTAACTCTTTACATGGCAATCCTAATCAATCTTATCGGCGCGTTTAGCTGAACCTCGCTGTCCCTCCGCCTTAATTCGTCGGGACAACGCGGAGTTACGAAATTAAGAGCTGCCGGTCCGGCGGTCCGGTTCTGTCCACTTCAACAACACGGCAATATATACACCAGCTGAACATATATATGTTCGCACGTTCTAGTTTCTAGATTTCAAGTTCAATTTCATTCAGTCAAAAATAAAAGCGACTTTCATAAAAATGTTGAAAATTTTCTTCGAAACAAGAATTCGACATGATGGTTTCAGCTCTAAAGCATGTAATCACCGGAGGAGGAGCAGATTCCGGCGGCGGAGAAATGAAAGGTGCCACGTCATCGCATTTCGTACAACAAGCTGCAGAGAATGTGATGCCCTACCTCCCCGATGCACCCACGTGTACTGCATGCAAAATTGTTGGCTGTTTAGGCTGTGAAAATTTCGAATCAGCCGAAAGTTCGAGGAGGAATCGGAAGAAGAAGAAGAAGTATAGAGGAGTGAGGTTTCGAGGGAAGTGGGTGGCGGAAATTCGGAACCCGCACAATGTAAAACGGGTTTGGCTGGGGACTTTTAACAATGCGGAGGCGGCGGCTAAAGCTTATGACAGGAAGGCGATTGAGTTCAGAGGTGAAAAGGCCAAAACCAACTTCCCATTATCTCATTACAATGTTGAGGCTCAAAGTTATGAGAATAATCAAGGCATTGATGGATTAATGGAGAATAGAAGCACAGGCAATGAAGATCACAGAGGTAAAGGTCAGCGGCGGAGCCAGAAATTTTGTTCAGTGCGGGCAAAATTTAATTAAAATCGAACTTTTAGATTATGGATTTAATGATATTATGACAATGTTAAAAATAACATAACGACAATACTAATACGATAATTAATTATCTTCTTCCTTATTCTAGGATCTAAAGCAAGTTGTGTAACATCAAAATTCATTTTATTCGATATCTTCACATCAACATTTTCTATGAAATATTTTCTTTTAAAGAACTCTGCATTGACACTTCACACTAAAATAAACCACAAGTGACAATTAAGTACTAATTGATAAGAAAAGAACTACTAATTTTTACAAATCGGTAGAACACCATAAAATCATTACTAATTGTTTAAATAATTGACAAAAATCAAAATTTCAAGAATCGATCACAAATATTACCAATATTCAACATTCACATAATCAAAATCCTTAATATTAACCAGAAAAATCACATGATCAAGAAAATCTTTGCTGCAAATTTGAGGGTCCAAAAACATGTGAATTTTAGGAAAGAAATGAACTTTGAAAATATTTCAAAACGAGAACAGATTTAAAGAAAATTTTTTAATTTCTTGTTGAGGGAAGAGAGTCAGAAAATGTCGCCGTGCACTTGATGTTGGGGCAAATTAGTGTATGGGTTGGACTTTAAATAAATGAAAAACATACCTACAACACACACACACACACACACACACAAAAAAGATCATGGGCTTGGGCCAAAAGTCCAGTGCGGGCATTTGCCTGCACTGGACTGTGCATGGCTCCGCCCATGGTAAAGGTAGTGTTGGAGTTAAAGATCAGATTGATTAATTATGTTGTGGTCAAAACAGCTTCGGCCCAAACGAGGTATATTCATCCTAAATATGAGGAAATACTTTCCAATAGCATGAAGATAATGAGAATTTGTAAGATTAGACTAAGAAATGAAAACATTTGAAAAATAGTCTTCAGACAATAGATTTTCCAAAAATACCCTTAGTTGAGAAATTACAATCAAAGCCACTACAATGTATAAAAATCTTCAATTAGATCTTCAAAGAAATATAGATCAAAAATCTTTAATAAATTTAAATCCAAATATCATACAAAATTTTATTGATTTAAAAAACGCAAAAGAAAATGAATTAAAATATTTAGAAGAAGATCTGAAAGATTTCTTTACAGAATATTTAGACCCAAAATTAAAAAACAAAAATGTTTCTATAGATTATGAAATAATTAAAATGGAAAAAGATATATATGAATTAATTCTTAACCTAAGAAGAAGGATTAAAGAATTAAATATAATTATTGGAGTAAAAATATTGATAAAAAATAGTGAATTCTATAAATTCTATTGTGAAATATTAAATACTTATGAAAACACTAATTGGCTCAAAAATAACCCCTCCGTTGCACACTCCGACGAAATGGTATCAGAGCCATGTTACGAACCAAAAATTATGATGAATATAGTAGATGAAGAAAATATAATTAAAGAATTTTTGAAAAAAGTTGAAAAACATAAAAAAACCTAGTTATCCCTACCTACCTAAAAACACTACAAATGAAAGTTTTGAGGATATACATAAAAGATTAGAAAATATAGAACACAATCTACAAGTAGGAAATGCTCTATTAGATAAAAATCTTAAAGGAAAAGATAGGATTATAATTAATCCACCTCAAGATTTTAGAGTAGCCCAAAAAGAAAATAAAAGGAAAAAACAAGAAGAAAAATAATATATGATTACAAGTGTAGAAGAAATAGAACAAAAATTCTTAGAATATCTGTTGCGAAGAGTATGAAGAATACAAAAAACAGTTAGAAGAATTAAATGAAAAATTAGAAATATAAAGATGAATATTAATCCATCTTCGAGCCAAAATATAAAAACTCTTAGAACTTATGAAAAATTTCAAGATGATAGTGATATAGAACCAATTGAATATTTTGAAGATCTAAGTAGTGAATGTAGTAGCATTTATGAATTAGATACATCCTCATCAGAAGAAGATTATGAGGAAATCGTGTATATGAATCAAGAGATACAACAATCAGAAATAGAAATAGAAACAACTGAAGAAGTTGAAGACACTATAGAAGGTATAAATCAAGAAATTACCTTTGATATTAAAAAATACGCAGGAATCACTAAGAAGATATTAGATCTACAAGAAAATGATGTATTCCATCAAGGATTCTTAGAAATTTTACCAAGAGTAAATAAAACAATTGTTAGTATGAATTATAAAGAAATGTCTATCAACATAAAAGATACCATAGGAAAAGCAAGAATTCCTATAATTACAAAAGAATGGGTAAAACAAAAGTTATCCAAAATCCCAGAAAATGTAAGAAATAAATTAAAATGTATTGAATTAGGAGGAGTCCAGATAATGGTAAAAGGATTCTTCAGAGAAGGTATGAATATACCAATAGAGATATATTGTATGGACAATAGAATCTTACAAGATCCTATAGATGCTCTATTAGAAACAATTGTAGGAAACTTAGTTTATCAGAAGATAATATTCACGGTAAAACCAAATTATGCAATATCTTTAAACAATGAAAATATTGATCAAAGTTTCAATCTATACTATAGAATTGAAAATTTGAAAATGCTGAGAAGAAGTAAGGCTGTTAGTATAAGCATAAAATCAATTTTTGCTTTTAGTACAACCATCGTAACAATTTTAAAAAAATAATTGATAATATTATCATACATAAAGATTTTTAGGAATTAGCACAATACATACCTCCTAGAAAATATCAAGAACATGAAGTCATTATACCAGAACAAATAATGCTTGATTTCCATAAGCAAGCTAAAGAAATTAATTATGAAGGAAAATTAATAAGAAGAAATAGTGTTAGCTTAAAATGAGATAATCTTATTGCAAGATTTCCCTCTAAACAAGACTCTAAGATGAGTAGATTCAAGAATTTAAGTATTGCTGAAACATCAAGTTTTACAATATTACATTAAGACAAGATATGTAAACCAAGAAGGGTATAAGAAGAATCTTTTTGTCCTCATAGATACTGGAGCAAATAAAAGTCATGTAAATGCTAAATTCGTTAGTCATTTAATAGAGTTTGAAATATCAGAACCATATATATTTAAGGATTATTTAGGAAATAATCTTGAAATCAGAAAATATGTTAAGTTCCCTCTTATACTTATAGGAGAGAATCAGAAATAATATACTAAAGAAATAATTTTATATAAAGATGAATTATATGGAGTAGATCGTTTACCTATTCTACTAGGAATGAACTTTCTTAAGAAATATAGTCCTTATAAAATATGCCAAGGATATTTAAAAATAATAGTTGATGATAACCCAATCATCATACCAAGAATAGATGAAAATATGAAATCATTGTTATCACAGAAAGAGTAATAAGTACTAATCCCATGAGTCCATATATTGAAATTACACTAAATATAAAAAGCTTTTGTAGAATTAAATTTCATGCTTATTTAGATACAGGAAGTACAATAAGCTTATGCTTATCAAATGTACTACCATCTGAATATTGGAAATACAATTCAAAGAAGATAATTCCTGCTACAACAGCAGGTGGGAATAAGGTAATATACAGCAAGTATGCTACTCAAGTACATTTTCTAATTTCCCTTAGAGAAGTATTTGTTGATATAATATACATGTCAACTACAATAGGATGTGATATTTTATTAGGACAAAATTTTCTATTAAAATATGCACCATTTACACAATATATTGATAAATTCACCCATTTTTGAAATTCACACACAAAGATTGAAAGAAAAACCCTTTTTTTCTTTTCTTTCTCTTCACCCTTGCAATCTCTGTTGTTTTCATTTATTTTATAGCCACATTTTTTTACCTAGCAGCCTCAATTCTATATATATTGATATGCAACCACATTTTTCACCAAATGTATGTATAATGTGACCTAAATGTCACTTTTTTTTAAAAAATAAAAATTGTCACTTTTTAATTAAAATAAGTGATGCAATATCACTTTTAAAAATTAAGTGTCTCTTTCTTATTAAGCCCCTGTTTGATCCCCATTACGTATAAAAATTAATGGGGGAATAATGTTTTTTTTTAAATGAGTGGTTGAAAAAGAATGAAAAGTTTTCGATTTACGTATAATATTATTTTATGAAAGATTGTGTGGTTGAAAATAGGAGAGAGAGAAATAAAATGTAATAGAATTTAATGTAATGGGACTCAAACAAGGGCTAAAAAATAACATACAATATTATTTTTTTACAATGTGATGTTTGTCACTAAAAAAAATTAATAGAAATCAATAAGGCGACTGAAAAAAAGTGACAAACATTAAAAAAAGTGATAAAAATAAAAAAGTCATGAAACTCAAAAAAAGTGACAAAAACTTTTTAAAAAATAAGTGACACTAATTCAAAAAATTGATAGAAAATAAAGATAGAAATTCATAATATATTAACCTGGTACTTGAGAGTTTGTCAGCTTTTCCTATATTATGCTGGTTGAATTTGTAAAAGAAGAAAGGAGCTTAACTGAAATCACACTTTGACTTAAGAAGAGACTTCGTCAGGTTCAAGCTTCGATAGAAATGTAAACCTTATGATTGACAAGATGGCAGGTATTAATCCAGATCATATTTGGGATGCGGGTTTGATTGCATTTCGTCAAATGCAGATGGTAGGTTTTAATCCAGATGCCATCTCAATCCTTATTCCATTAGTATCCTTTGTTTGTGCTCGAAAAAAGGGGCCGCGCTGTCTGGAAAGTCGGCCCATGCATTTAGTCTTACGAACCCGCTTCACGTACAGCACTGTACACAGCTTAGCGTACAGTGCTGACGTGGAAATTAAAAAAAAAAAAGGAAAAGTGGAAAAATCGAAAATAAACGATGACCCGGTTGAAACCAAATCTCTTCCAGTGGCCTCATTTCAACCCCAAATTCAAACCCATCCCCCACCGAGGAATTTCCCCCAAATCAAACCCGCGGCCACCATAAAAATTACAGGTGACAACCCACTTCAAGTGCCTCCGGTCGCCGTTTGAACGGTAGGAGAGTTAGATCGTGGAAGTGGAAGGAAAGAGGAAAGAAGGCAGGAAGTTTGTGAGTCGTAATTTTACCTTGTAATTTACTTTTTTTCCATCCTGTCCACTTTATTTTTTCCTAATTCTTGTTCGACGTGAGGTGGGTGTCATATTTCTTGTTCGATGTGAGCTAGGTGCCCGTAAAATTATAGCTGGGTGTCATATTTGTTGTTCGACGTGAGCTGGGTGTCATATTTCTTGGGTTATATGATTATTTCAACACAAAGAATTCTTGAATTTTCTCTTCTTCTTGCTGAATGTAAATTCCCATGAGTAGCAGGCAACTGTACATGATATCATGTCTGGAAACTCCAAGGAAGACAACGCATTCTTTACTGTTAATTTTGTGTGTTATTATCTTCAAGACAACCCAACAAATATAGAATATTTTTTATCATAAGCAAATGCAGTTCCTATAAACTGGTGGCAGTGACATTCATTTTGTCTATTTTTGGCTGCAATCCACTTTCTTCCCGTACCTAATTCTGTTGCTTTGTTTTTATGGCTAATGGGAAGAAAGTGAAGGCAAATGCAGAATTGTTGGGGTTCTTTATGTATATGTTTATTGTTAATCTTATAGCTTCAAAACTGTTATTTTGCGAATGCCTAATAGAATGTAAGTTGGATCAAATTCGATTCGATATCACATATGCTGCTTTTAACTTGGTGCTCAAAACTAATTGATGTTTTATGTGGAATACAAGGATTGGATAAAAAGAATGTGTCGAAGGTGATCATTTTAGTGTGTGTGTGTGTGTGTGTGTTTTATTTAATTTATTTGTTAGATTGTTGGCTAGATAGTTATGCTTCTGTAAATTTTGTGTATCTAATGCTTTTGAAATTATTTGTATAATTGTGCTGTGTTTTCGATAGTTGAGAAACATCTTCTTTGTTTTCGGATTTAATTCGAATTTTGCTGATATGCTTCCATGTTGGTACGGTTGTTTGATGTGGTTGAATTAGGTAAGTTCGATGGCAGGCAAGAATAAGGGAATATGTCATTCTTGTCGACAGAGGGGATGTACGATGCTGGAATGCCCAACAAAGAGAAGATGCCCAAACTGTGGTGAAGGTTTCATCAAATGGATGGAGGTTGAAAAGAACAATGACCATAAAGGGTTGTTGTTTCATTGCTGTACCCGTGACTATAGGTACTTCAAGTGGTGTAACAAATTTCCTGACGAAAAGTATCTGTTGCATGATGATGGTGAATCAAGTTGCATCACAACTGGAGGTGAAGACGTGGATTCTTTGTCGCATATGTTGAAAACGCTTGCTCAGTTAAGCGAGGAGAAAGACTTGGACATTTCTCTTCAAATAAACATGCGCAAAGGGAAACGAGTTTTAGAAAATGAAATGTAGAAGTTTTAGTATTAGGATGGTGATGCAACGGGTTGTATGTGGTGATCGTTCGAGAATGTATATCTAAACGTTTTCTAACTGTTTGTAATTATGCTTCCAGGAATGGTATGCTACTAGTTTGATGTGGCGCATGTGTTTTTTCTTCCAATTGAATGGTATGTAACGACTCGTGTATGTAAAATATTTTTTCTTTTTGCAAACAGAGATCAAAGTCTCTAACATCAAGAGAAGGGTCGCCATTTGGTACAAATGTTTTTCTTCAACGTTGTTGTAATTACATACTTGGCTGAAGTCGAAATATATTTTCTTGAAATATATTTTACGTTTCTATCTAGTTAATCCATATCTATTTGCTACATGAAGTAGCAAATTTCCGTAAGAAGAGTAGATTTTGGCGCTTCAATGAAATTCAGAGTTCTGAAACTCAAAGATGAAAAAACATAGCAGCTGCAATACAAAAGCATCACTTGTTATATCAACATGGGTAACTTGAAATTTAATCAAGCATTTATGTTTCTGATATGAACCAAGAATATCAACGAAAAGCCAGCCAGCTCACTCAGCAATTCGGAACACAGAATTCACTCTCTTTTATGCATAAACTCAAATCTTATGGTATGCAGTTCCATTCATTGACACAAATCTTGTGGTATGCAGTTCCATCCTCCATGGGTCCATCCTTCTAAAATGAAATATATTGGTATACAGTTCACCAAATAAAACTTAAACCTAAAAAGCAAATTCAAAATCATGCACAAAATGCACCCTGCAATCATATTTGACACAAATCTTGAAGCAGTTAAGCTAGCCAGACCTATATGAGTTCCACATCAGAATTTCCTAACCACAAACCTATTAACCATCTATATTTTGTCTCACCTGACTAACCCAAAATCAAAACTCATTACAATATAAATAAATGCAACTATCAGAATCCTATTTTTTATCTAAACTCGACCCAAAATGCTAATGTTGTTTGCCTCTCACATTCTATAATTTATTTAACACTGCAATTAAATCTAACTTAAACAAAATTAGAAGTAATAAATTCATCCGATTTCCATACATAAAAGGATCAAGACATTACAACAAAACAACGGCAACAAATATTCACATTGATGCCGAGAATAACAACACCCTCATCAAGGAACCGAGTCATATTTATAATCAGACATAAACTGAGGGAAAATGGCAGCTTGTTGAAGTGGGAAGAAAATAGTGACCAAGACTATTGAGATGCATCCCACAGATTGGGTGTCACTTCATAAGCCATTCCAGAACTTGGTATATCAACATGACTTGAAGGGCCTTCATCAATAGCAGCCTGAGGATCGGAATGGGCTCCACTGGACATCTAACCTGCTATATCACTGGAAGGGGCAGGTGGTCGAAAGGGCTGCAGTTACATGTTATCGACAGTTAGTTGAAGGACAATTTTACATGACATTGTCATATCTCTTAGTAAAAATACATAGCTTACAGTGTGAAAAAATCGAGGGAAAACACTCGTTGCGGAGGGGGTCAATAAATCCCCAACGACGCCCATGTGCGTTCCACCATAGTAGTACGACTGATTAGTGCCTGAAATAAGCATGAAATGTGCAAGATGTTAACGTTTGATCTATAACATGCTAAGTGCAAGATTGAGACAACTCTATTCCAGATTCTTTATGACTAGTTCATCATAAATTCCATTTTCTCATTTTACATTCTATGGTTTAAGGAGCTTAACCGACATTGTTCATTTTAGAAACAAGGTCGTCACACCTAGAGATGTATTTGTTAATAGAGGTTTTGTCAAAATTATTCCTCTATATATGTATATGTTATGCTTTTGTTTAATACCCATTATTAAGAATCTTGAAAATCGTCATGGATTGCAAAATAAGAGGATAACAACGTTATACTTGCCAACATAAATATTTACAAGTAAAATACTTTGTCAAAATACTTTGGGACCCATATAATTACCTTGCCAACTGGATAATATATTTGAAGACGACATGGGAAAGACTTGCGATGAATACAATTGCTGTGGTAGTGCGTGACGTTCCCCTTTGCCCTGCGTGATAGGAATAAATAAATATCAAACATACGTACAAGACATTGTGCAATATATTCAAATACTTACACATGTAACCTGTGAATACGGGGACGGCGTCGACGTCAAATATTGTGCATGCCTCGAGGTCTGAGTGGTCGGTGCACTGTGTTCAAGATTGCTCTTCGGGCCTCTCGACCTCGCCTACAAGACAATGAAAAAATTCTTAGTTTAAAGGAGTAAGTAAATATTTAAGAAGCTCTTGAGAAAATATTTAGCTACTGAATTTACCTTTGTTTTCTTAGAGCTCAACTCCAATGAGCCTTTAACAAGTAATTTCCTCGGGGCGCCCTTTCTTTTCGTGCATTTAGGATCTTGTATGTTGGCGCTGCCCTTCTAATACGATGCTCTCGAATCTGACCCCAAATGTAAAGTAGGCTGGGAAATGCTATTACTTTCACAGGCGGACTTTGTGGACTCTATGTTTTTAGGTTGCTGTTGAATCCAATCAATTATCGCAGCAGATCGACGCTCGTCATCGGTGGCCATGTTCGCCAACGTAGCGAACAAGCCACACATTGTACCATATCGTAACTGGATAGGAGTGCTAAGTAGACCGGCATAGTTCACAGCGACTCTCGTATGGGCTCTACTAACATCTCGTCTCCATTTCCTCAATATGTACCTATCCCGTAATGATGTGATGCCGTTACGCATCAACGCTGATATGGCATGTCTGCACAGAATTCCACGGAACTCGAATAAGTGACAACTGCAAATAACATCGCACTCCCTTGTACGAAATGTGACATAAAACTTTTTCTTCCTCACCGTCTCTCTGTGAATGACATCCTCCTCAAGCTCATACATCCTCTCCGATTTGTTATCCACTGCAGATATCACATAGCAATATACCTTCCCAGTTATCTCGTCCTGAACTTCCCGAAACTTCGAGATTGTGTAAACTGCTTGAAATTGTTTTTCCATTTCATATTTTGTTGCACAAGGCACCATTTGGGAAAAAGATTTAAAATCTGCCTGAAATTCCTTTTCAACTTTATTTCTTAATGCTCGTTCATATTGCTCAACAAATTGCTTCAACGACGTCTTCGAATGCACATACATATTAAAAAACGCATTCATACTCTCACTCCGTTGCGTTGTGGACACATCCTTGCCCAAAACGTTGTTTTCAAGTAGCATGGCACCCAACGACCCCTATTTTCATACAACCCCGACAACCATTCGTTCTCTTGTAAATTATATGTATCCAGCATAATGCCCCAACCTGCTTCAAATTCTTCAACATGCTGCGCATCTCGTACATTAATGCATGTATGGACGAAAAAATTGAACCTTTGTCAACGTGGTACCCAAACTTCTCAGGTAATTTCTTCATGATGTGCCATAAACACCATCTGTGCCTCGTATTGGGAAAGACTATCTCAATTGCATTTTGCATAGCCTTATCTTGATCCGTAATAATTCCATTAGGATGTCGACCATGCATGCACTGCAACCATGTCTTGAAGAGCCACACAAATGTGTCCGTATCTTCATTTGATAGCACACCACATCCAAGAAGTGTTGACTGGCCGTGATGATTCACTCCGACAAAGGGAGCAAAAGGCATGTCATACTTATTAGTGAGATATGTCGTATCGAAGGTCACTACATCCCCAAACTCCTTCTACGCCAGCCTACACCTATTATCTACCCAAAGCAAATTCTTAAGCCGTGACTCTTCATCCAAATCCATACAGAAGTAAAACCCCGAGCATTGTGCCTGCATTTGTGAAAAGTAGGATTGTATTGCTGCGGCATCTCCATCACCTAATCTCAAACGCCTCACTTGTTCAACATAATTTCGACAGTCTTTTTCCATGCAGGTCATATTCTCATACCCACCCGCTTCGACAACTGCAGAGTTATAACTCTTGTGCAGAGGAATTCCAGCCATATCATTCACTTCAAGCTTCCGTTTGACATTTGCATTCAACTCTCAATTATATCGATACAACCTTGACTTCGATGGACTTGTTTTATGATTGTGTTCAAGACACACTGTGCATATTTTCCATGTTCCATGAATATCTGCCGAAGCAGTGAGCCTTACTTTGCAATCTGTCTGAATTGTTGGTTGCGATTTCAAAGAACTGCTTGTATTAGTACTTCTACGGCCCTCACGACAACACGTCAACGTAACATATGTCACCACTCCATCCTCCCCCTTCCTCGAATTCCGTCTCCTAACCGAAAAACCAACGTTATATACATAGTTCTTATAAAATTCATATAGCTCGTTTTCATCTTTGAACTTCATACCCACCTCTGGCACAATTGTTCCACCTCCTCCCCCCTCTGGCACAATCGTACCATCTTCTCCTAATACGTCATCTTCCATGGTGACTACATTTTCAGTACTACACCTATTACTGGATTGTACAAGGACTTCGTCCTCCAATACTTCAACTCGTTCTTCTCCTACAACGCATTAAATGGGAACATTATCAGCTCCATAATCAAATTAACATCAGCAGCAACTGAATAATAATTTTAGTATTGAAGACTATCGAAGCATATATATAACATAGCGAGAATATGAAACAGAGACCTAAGCATAATTCACCATGCAATTTAACATGACATTTTCCATCTGTGATATTGAAGACTATTGAAGCCTACATATAACATTTGCCATGCATCTTTAATACAGAAACAGACAATCTGGGCCAAAATTTAGTATTCCCACAACCCAACACAAATATTTCCAATTCAACACAGGGATCCAACACACAATTACAGTAAAAAATCTAGCAGATTTCACAATTCGAAACAAATTATTCAAGGACAGTCCCCACCCTTCATTTGCCTGAAGAAGCTAGTATATGCAATTGCGTATTTCGGTGGTTGGATTCCCTATCATTAACATCAGCAGCAGCCCAATGTGCAAGATGCATTACCAAGCATACAGCAAAGTGGAAAACATACCACAGAACCACACAAAAATTTGCAAACTTACGGTTTACATGTCCAAAAAAAGGGCAGAATCATCTTACCTTTTTCTCCGTCGCTTGGGTGGGCTCGTTGCAAACGCTCGTCATCGGCAGAATCGAGCGACTCGCTGCAGACGCCCCGTTACTTGGGTGGGCTGGTGACCCGGGAAATTGCCTCTTTCGTTTGGGTTGCCGCTCGATTTTCCACGCTAGAAATTGTGAGAGTGGTGTGAATTGACCCGGGAAGTTGCTGTTGGAAGAATTTTGTGAATAGAGACGCCAAAAATAAGTATAAAGATAGGGACAAAGTCGAGGCAAGAGTTGGACTCTTTGTCCTTAAGTCGAATTTGCCCCGCAACGGTGCCTACGGATTTCGGCAATCGACTCCCAAGATACAACGGCTACACTTGTGTTTGTAGTACTCCAAAACACAAGTACAACGAACCAATTTAGGCTTATGTACTCCAATGATGAAATGAAAGAAAATCAAAATAAATGAATGATTTTGATTTTGGATAGAAGAGAGGATGAGAGACGTTTTGCATATCAAACTGTGAGGAATAGGACACCCAAAGGGTCCTATTTATAGACCATGAAAGGGTGTGGACGAAATGGTTGGGGCCAAACCATGCACCCTTTTCCAAACAATGCACCACCTTTATGAAAAGGTGTCTATTCACTGATGTTCGTCCTTTTTCGTAATTTCTCATTCATCCGATATTGGTTTTCGAAATGCCAAATATACCCTTCAATACATGACACCACCTTTATGAAAAGGTCGATCCCCGTTTGTGCGCCCCGAAGCGGCGAAGTGGCAAACAATTTTGCTTAAACGGATTGAGTCGAGCTTTTGAGTATTTGGTCGAAGTCGATACGAAGTCACTTTAATCGATTTTCAATTCTCGATTTATTTAACCAATATCCAACAGTTGCCTCTCACGTTTGGGTGGCCGCTCGACTTTCGCGAGAGTGGGTGGCTGCCGTGAGGTGGGTGGAGATGCTAGCAATCGTCAGAGTGGTGTGACTTGAGGGTTTCTCACAATCCGTTTCTCATAAAAACCCTGCTCAAACCCACTGACTTTTATTTTGTTTTGCCGCCAAAATCTCATGCCACATCAGAATTTTTGAAATGCTGTGCAAAAAGCATTTTCCTTAGTCTTAAGCATGGAAGTGATGTGAATCTCAATGCGTCCAATGCACTGTTGGCATTTTACTGTGACTGCAAAGAGTTGGCCTACTCATGTAAGATATTTATGAGAATGGTAGAGAAAAATCTCGTTTCATGGAACGCAATGATTTCTGGATGTGTAGATAATGGAGAAGCAGAGCAAGCAATGGCCTTTTTTCATCAGATGAGGTAAGAAGGTATTCACTTTGACATGATTACCTTAATAAGTATCCTTCCCTCTTGCAATGAGTGTAAAAATTTAGCTTTAGGGTTTACAATTCATGGCTATGCTGTAGAAACTGCACTAACAGCTGATTTCTTTAGCTAATGCTCTCATTAGCATGTATATTAACTGTGGAGAGCTTGACGTGGGATGTTTACTCTTCGAGCACATGCCTAATAAAAGTGTCGTTTCTTGGAACACTCTTATGACTGGCTATCGATATCACGACTTGCAAAATGACATCATTTTTTTTTGTTCACTCGAATGGTCGAGGAGGATCAAAAACCAAATTATGTTACCTTGCTGAATGTATTACCTGCACGCTGCAGCCTTCTTCAGGGAAAATAAGTTCATGCTTATACTTTTCGAACGGGTACCCACTCGATACTCCTCTTCTTACATCGCTCATGATCATGTATGCTAGATTTGAAGATGTAAGTTCATGTTTGATGCTGTTTCATATGGGAGAAAAAGGAATATATCCGAATTTTATAATTTAAGTTTAATTAACTTTAGCGATTAGATTAGGAAATACTTTAAGGACCAACTTGAAATTTTGTACGAATTTTAATATTAATTTGTAAAATTAGTCTGATAATTAGATATAGTTGAGATTCAATTGAGAAAACAGAGAGGGGATCCAAAGGATAATGGAACCTAGCAAAATGGTGGTCCAAGGGAAGAAAAGAAATTGAAACTAGGTTTGATTACTTCAACTTGAATTTAATAGCCCAATTTAATGATCTGACTGCTTACACATGAAATTTATACCCCAATTGTATCTAGTCCCATGTAATTAATCTCTTTTATTTTAATTAACGGAAAATATTGATTTTATGACTATCCTACTTGTACATAAAAATGGTACCTAAAGAATTACATAAAATGATGTCAAGGAAAAAAGTTAGATGAAAAAGTCGATTGTGTTTTAAACTGACAAATAATATAATGACATGTAACATTATATAACCAATTATATAAGCTTCATGTACATGTAGCAATATAGTTTATTTTATGTTTGCTAATTAAATAATTTTTATCAATTTGAAAGATAGCCGACCATTGAATGGTGAAATTTTGAAGTTCAATGTGCATATCAAAATTAAATTAACGCTCAGTTACCAGTATTAATTGAGACGTTTCCAGAATTTAAATGGACACTTCAGACAGTATAGATTTGTCTGGCATTTTCAGTATAAGCACGTTGTGAAATTTGAGGGTGGACTGTTCATTTTCATACAAATAACGGCTGGATAAAACTGGCAAAGACTTTTCGCCTACCACTTATTTATTCAATAAAGTAATGAAAAGAAACATTCAGAAAATATCTCAATGCAAGGACAACAGACCACGCGCCATATTTAGGCCACGTTTGGTGTAATTTAAAATGTTCTAGCAGGATAAGAACAAAATCCAAGTACATTGCATATTCATAAAATAATTTTCACGTTTTTTGAATGTTATAGAGTTAATAATTCAATTTAAAATAAATAAGAAATTAATTTAAGCTACATAAGAACAAATTATATAGAAATTATTTTATACGTTTTTTGTACTTATAATTGTTGAACGAGTAGTGGTTACTAATGAAATGCCTCATTAGAGTGACTCTTCCGTATTCAGGAGTATAATAAGTCAATTTGTACTAAATCCTTATGTAAGGAATTACAAAAGGATGGCGCACGAACGGTGTACTCCGGTACCGGTGGTGAGCCCAAAAAGCGGGAGGGAGAGCTGTAATTAGAGAGCAGCTCAAAGAGTGAGACTGCTGGATGTGATTCCAAGAGCCGAACGAGATCGGGTTATACTTAAAAAGTATTCCTTTTTTTTTTTTTTTTTACTCATTTATATCTAATCTATTTTTTCTGGCTTGGTATCTCTCTTATATTTGTCTTATCTTTGACGAAAAAGTGCATCTAGTGGCTGGCCAAAAGACCCTGATTGGCTACTTCGTTGGCCAAAAATAGCATTTTTCGGTGGTGAACTCGATTGCGGGAAGGAGAGAACGAAGGGGAAGGGAAAGATTCCTGGTTGTACAGTGGGACCCCTTTCTCGGCACCTCTTGCAAGATTCATATTCTTCCCAGCTCCCAACCTGCCCTTCGCCAGTTGGAAATGGAGGCAAGAGTTCGCATTGATCGGGTGAGATCGTGACGGTAAATGGCTCGCCATTTCCATCCACTACCCTCTCGATGACCGATCCCGAATTCCAGGAACATTTGGAACATTTCGTTTTTGAGCAGAAGAGCCGTTTGCAAGTAGTGTTCGATCAATTACGTATTAGTCAATATTCGATTAATTGGTCTGAGGTTATCGACAAAAAAGATTTGTCTAAGCCACTTTAGTACAATTCCCGCCTTAGGACCCCTACTGTGACAACAGCTACTACGTAATGACAGAAGCGAGAGAGCACGCAAAAAAGCGATCCAGGAATTTGCCTATGATTTTTTCAACTGATATTTCGATATAGAAAGATCTCTTTATAGGGGCGACCTTCACTCTTCTTCTTGCTTCCTAACCCTAAAAGCTCACTTCTTTTTTCTTAAGATTTTCGTGTATTTTATACTCTCCTCAGCTTGAACTCTTTACCTAGAAGATTCATGATTTCTTCGAGAAAAAATTCTCTAACAATTGATAAAATCAGATAAGTTTTAGAGGCCTCTGCCCTTCCATCCCTTGGATGGATAGAGAGGGAGGGCAGAATTGCAAAAGTCTTTAGCTTAGGGTAATTAGGTTGTTTCAGGCGAAAAAAAGGAAGTTTACAATGTTTAAAAAAATCAAATTCATATCAATATTATTTAATACTATATTAACTTTTAAAGTTAAATTCATATTATTTAAGTTGGAACTCACGGAAAGGGAATATAATAAATTTTGCAAGAAAAATAGCATTAAAGATATTTAAAGAAAAAGTACATATTATGCATATTAGTCAAAGTTGAACGTGTATTGCACGTTTTCTGAAAATGTTTTATTAGTGCTGTAAAAGTAATATTTGATGCCGATTTATTGGAAGTATTTGACGAGTCTTTAATGAATTAAAGAAAATAAAATTTATGATAGAAATTTAAGGAAAGGAAATTGTATTTTCAAAAATTAAAACTCAACTTATATGATTCAATTTTTTTTGTAAAGATGAAATACTACAAATGAACAACATTTTTATACTATATTTAACACATAAGAATTAATTGCTAATACATGAATTTAAATATTCATTAAAATTTTTTGTGATGATAGAATACTACAAAAACGACCTTTTATACTACATTTGGCACATAGGAATTAGTTGATAATATATGAATTTAAACACCCATTAAAATTTCTAGATATATAAATAAAAATAAATTCATCTATAATAATTCTAAATTTATGTAGATCAAGATTCATCAAGTCAATGATCATTGAATCTAGATTAATATGACTGTTAATTAATTTAGAATTGATAACACAAAATTTATACATGACAAAACTTTTAATAGTGTTTATTAAATATTGAAAAACGAAAAGTAAGATGTTAATGAGATAATTGAATTGTAGTGAGATTAAAATTGTCCAAAAAATTATTCTAACTTCATATGATATTTAACAATAAAGCCATGAGTATAGAAAAAATTTAACAGAATTTGTTCTAACACTAGCGTGGCAAAATATGATTGGACATTTTTTTTTTCTTTTTTTCTCATTTTTCAATGATGTCACGTCTTGTTTTGTCTATAAAATTTTTCTATCATAAAATTCTGTACTTGTAGCATTATTGGATATTTAATATATTATACATTATAGATATGACAAATCAATTTTTTAGTGTATAACAAAATAAATTCAAATTTTGGGATTCACCATAAATTTATCAACTAATAGATTAATGTATTATGTCATAAGTTAAGCACCAATATCCAATAAATTATTTTTTAGAATGTGATTTATTATTTAGAATTAAGAGAATTTTGTGATGACATATTCTAGCAAATTTAAACAGACAGTGTAATAAATTTCTATCAAGGTACAAATTCAAATAATCATAATAATAAATAAAAATTCTCAGGATTAAAGAGTGACATGCCCATAAATTTTAACAGTATTGATAAAAATTTGGTTTCTTGAAATGCATCTACTTGAAAGATTTTGTAGCAGAATTTAAATTGAATTTTGTAATAAATTTAGTCGAGTAGTACAGTAAGATAAATTTAGCCCTCCGTTTGGTACCCATTTTTTTTAAAATGTATTTTTCTCTCTTCTTTTCAACTACATATTCTTCATTAAAATAATATTACAAGTAAATCAAAAAAATTTCCTTATTTTTCAACCACACATTTCCCATCAATTTACTATTCCAAAATGCATTTTTACATAAAAATGGCTCCCAAACACAAATAATTTCAAATTCAACATAATTTCAAAACGACTTGTTTGGCAAGTATTTAAATTATAAATTATAAATATTTTTGTCAAATCATTTTTTATTCATTCCAAAAATTGACAAGCATTACATTTTTACCCACCCCTCATTTTTTTTTATCTATTTATAATTATTAACAATTTCCAAACATGCTTAAAAATTTAAATGCAATAATATTATGGTGCGTTTGATTGCAAGCATAAAATTTACATGGAAGCTAAGTAATTAAATTGTCTAGAAATTATTTTCACGAAAATTGTCAATTACTGTATTTGTTTGATTTTATTTTGGACCTATAAAATGTTATACTTGTCCATTTTTTATTGGTAGGTAGATGAGAGAAAGATAATATATGAGAGAGAAAGAGAAAATGAATTATATAGACAATAAAAACTACCATCCTCAAAGAAAATATTTTTCTTATTTTCAAGAAAAATATGGTCACGTGACCAAAAGTATGAAAATATTTTTCATGAAAAAACATATCAATCAAACAGTACAAAAGTAAGAATTTAAACAGAAAAATGATATTTTTCAAGAAAAATATTAAATATCAAATGCAGTCTTAGGGTCCGTTTGATTGCAGAGGTGGAATTTGGGTGGAAAGAAAATGAATTTCAGGGAATTGAATTGATGAGAAATTGTTTTCCTGAAAATTGTAAATTATTCTGTTTGATTGGTATAATTTTTCACCTGAAAAATGTTTAAATTAAAGTATTCTTTTATGTTCGTTTGACTTTATTTTACATGAAAATTATCAATTAAAGGGATAGAATTTACTGGTATTGGGAATGAAATTTGTTTCCATTGCCAAAAAAAAATTCAAGAAAATCATGTATCTTTGGGTGTTTGTTTGACTTTGTTTTACATGATAATTGTCAATTAAAAGGAAATATTTTTTTACAATAAATCTTAGCATTTGTTTCCATTACCAACAAAAAAAAAAAATGCTATAGTAACATGGAATTCCAATTCTCACAATTGGTTTTCCTTAAAAACCAAGAAAATGCAATTTTATGGAAATAAAACCCTATCAAACACTATAAAGTTGGAAAATTGAATTCTATTCCATTTTTCATGGAAAATTTTGGTGTATCAAACACACCCTTAGAGTTTTCCTAAGTATACACCGAGGTTGACAGCCCCCCACAATGAAGGCCTATGATTTATTTATTTTTTGGGCGTGACCCCTCTCTTGTGAGGAGTTTGTACACCAAGGTGTCAACTTGTTGTCAACCTCAATATACAAATAGCAAAACTCATAATTTTAAAGGCCTTGATTGACACTTCTCATGTGTCAAAAATTCAACTTTGGGGCTCATTGGCTACGGATAAAGCTACTTTGTCAGAATGATTTGAAAAAAAACTTTAACATAATTGTATGTGATAGTTAATAATTGGATGAAAAAGCTGATTGTATTTTAAATTGTTCGATAATAAAATGTCATGGGATATTATATCAAATTTTATATCAATTTTGATGTTAATGTAGCATGATTGGATTTGCTCATGTATAGATTAACAACAAACATAACATAAGACGCGTATCAGCAACTTTGTTCTTGGACGTGTCGCCTGGTCCCGCTTTTCACTTTCATTTGGCGTAAACTCTTTACATGGCAGTCCTAATAAATCTGTACCCTCAGACTTATTCAAATCTTGTCGGCGCGTTTAGCCGAATCTCACTTTCCATCAGCCGTCATTCGTCGTGTCAACGCGGCGTTACGAAATTTAGAGCTGCCGGTCCCGTCTGTCCCCTTCAACAACACGTATATATATTCACCAGCTGAACATATCTGTTCGCTAGTTCTAGTTTCTAGATTTCAACTTCAATTTCAATCAGTCAAAACGAAAAGCGACTTTCATAAAAATGTCGACTTTCATAAAAATGTCGAAATTTTCTTCGAAACAAGAATTCGACATGATGGTTTCAGCTCTAAAGCATGTAATCGCCGGAGGAGGAGCAGATGCCGGCGCCGGAGAAATAAATGGTGCCACGTCTTCACATTCCGAACCACCAGCTGCAGAGAATGTGGTGTTCTACCTCCCTGATGCACCCACGTGTACTGCATGCAAAATTGTTGACTGTTTAGGCTGTGAAAATTTCGAACCAGCCGAGAAATATAGAGGAGTGAGGCAAAGGCCTTGGGGGAAGTGGGCGGCGGAAATTCGGAACCCGCACAATGCAAAACGGGTTTGGCTGGGGACTTTTAACAATGCGGAGGCGGCGGCTAAAGCTTATGACAGGAAGGCGATTGAGTTCAGAGGTGAAAAGGCCAAAACCAACTTCCCATTATCTCATTACAATGTTGAGGCTCAAAGTTATGAGAATAATCAAGGCATTGATGGATTAATGGAGAATAGAAGCACAGGCAATTAAGATCACAGAAGTTAAGGTAGTGATGGAGTTAAAGATCAGATTGATTAATTATGTTGCGGTCAAAACAGCTTCCGCCCAAACGAGGTATATTCATCCTAAAGATGATGGTTCTAATCGTCTTCCATATCTATTTTCCTCTTAGCTATTCCAGGAGCATAATCACAAGATCAATGCCTCTGGCAATAAGACGTCGAGAAAACTCCATGACACGTAAAGTTTTGGGATATGCTGGAAGAAGAAAGATCTGGAGTAATATATTTTGAAGTTTTAGATTTTTTTTTTTTTTTTTAATCCATGTATCCCATCTTACACTAAACTAAATTCTCGACCCCCAAGACCTTTGCCCTTAGAACCTTAGGGGATAAATCGCGGGTTATACCTCAATTGGATCGCAGGTTCTCCCCATCGTCTGTATACTTCTGCGCACAAGAGATCCTCCTCCAAAGTGATTGCTCCATACCAAAATGTTGGCTGCAGGTTCCCACCAGGATTCGAATCTCCACCCTGTCGCTGAAAGCAAGACAAATGTTGATTGATCCACCAGTTGAGTTATGTTCCGGAGGCTTGAAGTTTTAGTTTAGTAGTATGTAACATGGGCGTTGGCGTGATTTTATAACTTTATTGTAAAATTGCTGGGCAATTTCCAAGAATAATTCGCAATCCAAGCAAAAAAACTAATACGTAGAAAAAAATTGTTGGGCAATTTGATAAAATACCAACAAAGCAATAAAAAAATAACACACCAAATTTATGTGGAACAATTGGGAAAAAACTGTAGGACAATTCTGGTCAAATCCACTATAATAAAATAGAGTTTACAATGCTCAAGTTTATGCTTAGCAAATTGGGAATACAATAATAATCAGTCTCCAAGACAACAAATAAACTCATCACAAACCTACAATTTGAAAAAATTTGTGAGATACCTACTTTGAATACTATACCTTTACCCAAAATATAATGCTTAGGGCCTGTTTGATAGGGGTGGGAATTCCATTTCCCACTGAGAAATTTCCAATTTGTACTGTGTAGAGAATTACCTATGTGAAATTCACATACAAAGATTGAAAGAAAAACCCTTTTTTTCTTTTCTTTTTCTTCACCCTTGCAATTTCTGTTGTTTTCTTTTATTTTGTAGCAACACTTTTACATCCAGCAACCTCAATTCTATATAGTTCCCGTTTGGCCCCCATTATTTGAATTTATAATGAAGAGAATAGTGTTTTTTTTTTTTTTTAAGATTGTGTGGTTGAAAAGTTTTCGATTTGAGCATAATATTATTTTATTGAACATTGTGTGGTTAAAAGTAGGAAAGAGAAAAAATTAAATTAAATTGAAGAGTTTAAAAAGGGGTCAAAGGGCGGCATATATTGATATACAACCACATTTTTCATCATATGTACATATAATGTGACCTAAAATACAATATATAATGGATTTGGGTCATTTATCTCCTCATGAGTTGGAAGGCCATATAACAAAAACAAATTTTATATAGGGCAACTTACAAAAAGACCCTTAAAATTAGGAATTTTTTGAAGAATCATATGAAAAAAATTTTGGAAGTAAAAAATATTGTATGATATTAAGAAGTGACACAATGTCACTTTTTCTTTTTCTAAAAATAAAAATTGTAACTATAAAAAAAAAAAAAAGTGACGCAATATCACTTTTAAAACTTAAGTGTCTCTTTCTTATTACAAAATAAAATACAATATCATTTTTATTAAAATGTGATGTTTGTCACTAAACAAAGTAATAGAAATCAATAAGGTGATTTAAAAAAGTGACAAACATTAAAAAAAAGTGACAAAAATTAAAAAGAAAAAAAAAGTGACAAAACTGAAAAAAGTGACAAAATTAAAAAGGAAAAAAAGAAAAAAGTGACACTAATTCAAAAAAATTGATAGAAAATAAAGATAGAAATTCATGATATATTAACCTGGTACTAAAGAGTCTATCAGCTTTTCCTATATTATGCTGGTTGAATGTGTAAAAGAAGAAATGAGCTCAACTGAAATCACACTTTTTAACTTAAGCAGAGGCTTCTTCGGTTGCAAGTTTCGATAGTGGTGTACACCTTTCAAAACAACCCCATTAAACATATCTATGAGACAATAAGTGTTCATTCTGTTTCAATTACATTTCTTTTCTCAAATTTTCCCAGACTTCAGGTCCTCTAGGATGAGAATTTACACAAGTCCTAACAAATTTTTTTTCTCTGAGCATGCTAATAGAGTGCTTAAGGCCAAATTTTTATCTGCTGTTTTTTCATCTACGAGCCATTTGTACAATGAAAGTCTAAGCTTCATCCTCTCAATTGTATAAGAGATATGTGATGGAAAAGGTATCAAAGAGGACACTGGGTAGCCCAATTCATATACAAGATAATCAATTTTTTATTCAATTACATCCTTGGATTGGTTGAGAATGAGGAGAGGATTTTAGCATCTTTATGACTTCCTCATGTTTCAAACCAGCATTTACTAAACAACCAAATCTCTCTTGAAGTTCAACACCTTTGCCTCGAAACACTTTGAGAGCTCGTTCTATTTCACTCAATTAGTTTTATCATGTTTTGAAGGTGCTTTCAAGATTAAACCCTTGTTTGATGCCCATTACCTGAAAATGAAAATGGGAGAAATAGTATTTTTTAGAAAAATAAGTGGTTGAAAAAAAAGGAAAAGTTTTCGATTTACGTATAATATTATTTTATGGAAGATTGTGTAGTTGAAAATAGGAGAGAGAAAAATGAAATGTAATGTAATTTAATTTAATGGGGATCAAACAAGGGCTAAATATCGTGTTTTACTTGAAATTCTTTTTCATGATATTTGAAGAAATAAATAATTATTAAAATAATATATTTTTGTCATGTAGTGGTTTTATATACGACTAATTAATAATTAACATTTTCTTTTATTCACGCCTCTCAATTAAATGAAGGAGCACTATTTAAAATTTCTTACCGGCTATTGAAAACCTCATGGCCGACTCTGGATACCTTATGATTCGATTAGTGCTAAACACCAATTTAAATATATTGGACATTTTAAAAGAAATTTTATCCCTTAATTAAAGATGTACAATAACTTAGTTAATACCTAGAAGAGTGCTCAGCACTAATTGAATTACATAGCATTATTCTTACTTCTTTTAATTATACTAATCGTTTGCCGGTGCTAAGTTAGTTTGAGGGTAAGGTTACTGTGTTAAATATGTTGGATTCTTGTGAATGACATGCGGTAGTGAATATTTGTAGAACCTTATTATATGTACATTATGGTGTACACATTATTTTATATTTTGTCACGTATCATTATTCTATTTGACAGTTTAAAATTTAAACAATTTTTTCATTCAATTGACACTTGACAACAATGCAAGTGTCAAAAATCAATATACAAATAGCAAAGTTCATATTTATAATGGCTACAATGAAATCGGCTTTTCAATATTCAGCATGTAATAAAATGTCAAATTTTAGTGAACATGATTTGAACATCTTAAATGACAGAATACGTAGCTATGGATAAAAATTTGGGGTTTCTTCTTGTATTGATATAACCATTGCAACAAAGAGTAAGTTTTACATCGGTACATTGATGAAATTAATCTACAAGGTCCTAAAGTAATGAAGCTTGGTTGTTTTTCTTCTAAGCATGGAACCACAAACACCAAGAATCTCCAAAAGAATAGATAAACAGTAATAAATTGTTCTGAACGAAGAATTTGCAAACACCAAAGGAAAAAAGATTGCATTCACAGATTCACCTATATGTTTAAAATGAAGAATTCTCACTTGATTATTGAAGTATTATATCGGACATCTCCTACAAATGATTACACTCATTCAGACCATATAGTGCAATAATGAAAATGAAAATGAATATCTACATGCGAGCCTAAGTTTCATAATAATGAATAGGGATGGACAAAAATCGACTGGACAGACAAAACCATCCAAACTGAATCGACTCGACCGATTTGGATCAGGTTTATGGTTATTTTTAAGTGGTTTAGTTCTGTGGTTGTATTGGCGGATTGGGTCGGGTTGATTTATGGGTCAAACCATAAAAATCGAAGAAACCCGTCCGGACGAACCCGCCTACTTAAAAAAAAAAAAACGAAAAAGAAAAACAAAAGAAATAAAAAAAAATCAATATCTTTACTCGTCATTCATACGACTCATAACCAAAAGAAAGAAGCCCTAAATGGCTAAATCTCTCTATTCCTTCTTTATCTCGTACTCCTGCTTGAAGCCTCAAATCTTCGACAGCGTCGACAGCCATCTTCATTTTTCAATTCCCCAAGCCGGTCATCGGATGTCCGGTGCTAAAAAACCCACAACCACAAGCCAGGTATATTATTTCTCTAGTCATTGACTCATTGTTCTGCTCTTGTTTATCTTCCATGTTTACTTCCACGCCAGCACTACTTAATGCATTTCTAATGCAGTCTTACTTCAAAGTTTTTGTAGAAAAATTTCACATAATATCTCTTCGGGAGCTTAAAATTTATCCACGGCCCTAATTTCTAAATGTTTGTCCAATAAACTTTCGGTAATTTGCTAGAAAATTAACGGATCTCAGTTGATTGATAAAATATCTGAGAGCTGGTTCAGTATATAAGATTCATCGATGTTACTAGGATTTTTACATGGTTTTCTGATTGCTGGTTGGAAATGCAATTTGACGAAATTTTTAGGGTTGAAAATTGAAACACAGAAATTGGAGAATATGTTGGTATATTGATACGTGTCTTGCAGTGGTTGATTGTAACCTTTTGAAGAACATTCTGCTATTCCTTGGAATCAAATTTTGGCTGTGGCGCCGGTTAGCTTTATCCCTTACAATCAACTTTAGGCTTTATTCACTAATGTTTCCTTTTTGTGTTGGTATTAATGCAAGTGGAAATATATGTTGTTGTTGTTTGATATTTGGAAATTGGAGTCAGAAGATAACTTGCAGTCGCAGACTGCACCATCCTTAAGCAAATGTATTCAGGTACAATGTTCTTCCTTTCTTGTAGACTGTACTGCATTAATAATTGTCTGCAATGTAATATATGTGTTTGGTTTATTCATAATCATAATTTCGGTGAAATATATTGGTAGATACGGATGTATATAATGAATGTGGCACAGAGGTTCCATCAAATGACACAGATTTGCAAAAAATCCCATTACACCAACTTTCAAGATGTTTTTGAATGACCCTTAATTGCAATACATATTGAACGGAACATATTTGATGAAGATGATTACTTCATTCTTGGATAGTACATTGTACAAGCATCAAGTCATGGTTCAAAAATTTACACAGGTTCTGAATAAAGTGGCTAGTTTTGGGCTTTTGCATGTAAATGTTCTTACTTTCTTCGATTTTATGTAAATTTTAAGAATAGGAGTAATCCTTGGCTTCTTCTTCTTCCTCCTGTTGTTTCTGTAGTAACATCAGGAGTGAGATTTAGCTATTTGTTATTGCAAGAATAGGAGAATAAAGAGTCTTTTGCCTTGTTTCATAATTTATGGTATTCTGAAAATGGAAAAATAATCTGATCTTAACTTTCAAGTTTTTAAGATTTTAGGACAATGTTGTTTCCTATTTAAGTTCCCATCAAAATGGTAATCCACATTGCAGTTCTTTTTGCCATGGAGTCTGCGAAGAAATCTCCTCAAGCATCTATATGATGTCTAGGACAAGGTTCCAGGATCCATATTTTTATTGTAGAAGAATATATTTACCCATGTTTCAATTTTTTGTAATTTTAAATTGCTGGCTACGAAAATTTTTCTCATTCGGTTCCATTTCCAAGTGTAAATGAGTGAAACAATGGGGGGGTATGAGTTACTTTCCTGTACCACTTAATATGAAATCGACTGGAGTCTCATTCTCAAATCAAGCCCTTTACTGTGGTCATTATTACTTGAAATAGTTCACTCACAAATTTTGTGTGTAATTTGCAGGGTCTTCATCTTCTGTTGTGAATATTAAAGACCTTGAATTGACTAAAATTCTCAAGGCTGCTTACAATGCTATTTTCCTTCTCTTGATGTGTCTTATTTTGAATCCAATTCAGCTATTCTTCTTCTGCAGCCTCCAACAGTTTCTAACAACAGGTTTTAATGTTTTTTGCACAACTTGAGGTTTGCCAACAGATTTTTGCCTCAGTTTTGTAAATTTGTAATTAAATATGTAATTGGTATTGGATAATTATTTTGATGCATATTTGGTGGACTATACTATTGTATATTTGAAATTTTTCTAATATTGGAAGACTATATTAATGTTGCTTTAAATTTAGTATTTTTATTTCTTTAATATTTGTGGACAGGTTATTCCGAACTAACCAACCTAATCCAACCCAACCAATTCAATCTTTACATGAGTTGGGTTGGGACAAAAATCGACCTGACCAGACCCTACCAGACCCAATCCAACCCACGCCCACTCCTACTCGTAATGATGAATAAAAGGATGAGAATTAAAAATGATACATGAACTTTAAGATATTAGTACGAAATACTAAAAAGAATAGAAGAATACATCAAGTCAACTTAGAAGAATACCAATAACAAACCTCTGAACCTGCAATCATCTTTGAAAGCAAATAAATTCTATCGCACTGAGGTGTATAATACAAATTCAAAGAAACATAATACAATTGTTTCCTAAAACAATGTAGCCACTAGAGTAAAAGATAGAACCGAATGTGAATATTATAGATAGAGTACGGAGCAATGTACAATAGAAATCTCATTTAATTGAAAAATCAACATTTTAGACAACATAAATTCTCGCTTCATTAAACTATTATTATATTTAATATCTCAAAGAAAAGATTATACTCATTTAGAACGCACAGCGCAATCGTTTAAATGACAGTGAATATTTGTATACGACCGTAATGTTCACATCATAATTAATAAAAAATAACAGATTCCGAACAATCAACTTCCAAAGTTGGACAATGTTTGATAGAAGAGAATACAATAACCCTAAACGAATGAAATTGTTGATGAATAATCGGAACGGACCAAAGGTAAAAAATTGAGGATAACAAACACACCAGATGAAATAAGATCTCACACAGAACATAGAACAGACCACAATTATATTAAGAAGAAAAATGAATATGGAAGAAAGAAGATTGGAAATAAAAATGAAGAACAATAAAGAATGAATTAACGAATTGAAATTTATTCAACAAATTGACATGTTCAGTTGTCAATAAATACAAGACAACAAATTAGAAATTCAAGAACTGAATGGGAAGGAAAAAAATATACATTACTTGGCAATAAGAAATGAAGAAATTGTTCTTTAGCTATAGCATGTTTGAAGCTAACAACGAATTTGGGAGGTGAACGAAAGAAAGAAATTAGAAAATTGTGGAAGAAACTAGTTCAAGAAGTTAAAACAGAATTATTTGTTATTTCCCGTACTCTTCAGCTTATTGTTCAGCTTCACAAGAAGCAAGAGGTATAGACCACGTTTCAATTAACACAAATATGAGGAAAAAAAAGGGATGAGGGCTCATGTTTTGGGAAACGAAATAGAAATTAGTTTCTATCATAAGATACTTTGAAGTTATAGATGAACTTAAAAGGCATGAGCCTTAAATTTCTGGTATTTCCGTAAGAAGTAGATAAATGGGCAAGTGAGTTCGTATTTCAATGTAAAGAAGGTATTTTTGTTCCTAAGATAGTACATAAATCTTTTAAAAAATTTGCAAACAAAGTTCGACAATATTCCATTTCACCATAAAGCATTATCAGAAAGATGAGTTCCAAAGAAATTGAACATCTCATAGCATTGGGTATTAGATCCAAAAATGCACTGTTTTCATAGAACGAAACATATTTGACAGCAGTGGCGGCTGCCCTAGCTGGCTTTGCCGGGAGGGAGTGGTTGGTTTATTTTTCAGATTTGGTCTGTCTACCGTCGTTCAGTTGCTTTGGTTGTTGGCTTGGGTCAGTTGGGTGTTGGGCGGTTGGGCCTCTAATTTTTTTTTTATTTTTTAAATCAGGCCCAATTACAGAGGCCCAAATGAGCTTTCTCCATATTGATATACGTGGAAATTACAAAATTCCAAACATTTGAAGATTATAGTGCAATAATCAAGTGAAAAGGTTTTGAATTCAAAATTCAGGTATTGATTTAATTATTAATATTAATAATAAAATATATCATACCAATCTAATTTGAAACCCTAAATTCAAATTCACGTCACTCCATTTTCTCTCCTTACTCTCTCACTCAACCTACACTGACGCCGCCTCCCACCGTCGGAGACCACCGCCCACATCAACAATGCACGTCGAACTCATAGCACCGCGCGACACCGCAAGTAGCACAGGTGCCACGACGAGCGTTGGTTTCACGACAATCGTCGATGTCGTGGCTGCTGCAAAACCGTCAAATGTTGATCTGAGTGCTGCTGTGAGCATTGAAGTTAGTGCTCACTGAGGTGATGCGTGGCGCCGTCGTGGCTATGTTGCGCGGCAATGCTGGTTGACGACAGTGTAGTAGCGCTGCCACGATAGAAAAATGTTTGTTGATTTGTGTAATTTCAGTGTGTGTGGAAGTGTATTGGTGCGTTTGTTAGTTTTTGGAGTGGTGGTGGATGCGATGGTGGTGTCGGGTGGGTAGGATGGTAGGTTGGATTTCAACTTGAAGAAGTTGAAGAAGAGGTCGAATGAGTTCGAGAGTGAGTTGGGCGAGTTCGAACAGGTGTAGGAGTGAATCAGCCAGTTTCAGGTTGGGAAACTTGCACGGGTATGTTGAAGGGTGTGTGGTGGTTTTGATGTTGCTTATGGTGGTGGTAATGGTGGTTTAGGGCTGCTACGGTTTTCAGTAGGGACGACCTCAAAGTGTAGTGGTGGTGGTGGTTTGGGATTTTTGTGGTTTTCAACAATGGCGACATTGGGGTGTGGTGGTGGTGTTGATGCTCCTTGTGGTGATGGTAGTGTGTGGTTGGATACGGTGGTGGTGTGTGTATGCTGTGATTGCGGTGGTGTTGGTGGCACTATCGGTGTGTGGTGTTTGACCAATTGTGGTGCAGATGTAGATTGTGGTGTGTTGTGTTTGTTGGAAGAATTTTGTGAATAGTGACGCCAAAATAAGTATAATGATGGTGATAAAGCCGAGGCAAGAGTTGGACTCTTTGTCCTTAAGTCGAATTTGCCCCGCAACGGTGCCTACGGATTTCTGCAATCGACTCTCAAGATACAACGGCTACACTTGTGTTTGTAGCACTCCAAAACACAAGTACAAAGAACCAAATTTAGACTTATGTACTCCAAGGATGAAATGAAGAAAAATCATAATAAATAAAATGATTTTGATTTTGGATAGAAGAGAGGATGAGAGACGTTTTGCATATCAAATTGTGAGGAATAGGACATCCAAAGGGTCCTATTTATAGACCATGAAAGGGTGTGGACGAAATGGTTGAGGCCAAACCATGCACCCTTTCCAAACAATGCACCTTTATGAAAAGGTGTCTATTCACTGATTTTCGTCCTTTTTCGTAATTTCTCATTCATCCGATATTGATTTTCGAAATGCCAAAAATACCCTTCAATACATGCAGAGAAATCAAAATTCTCTTTCGGGGGCGCTGCCCCCTCGACCCCCGCGACCTGACCGGGCAGGTCAATCCCCATTTGTGCGCCCCGAAGCGGCGAAGTGGCAAACAATTTTGCCTAAACGAATTGAGTCGAGCTTTTAAGTATTTGGCCGAAGTCGATACGAAGTCACTTTAATCGATTTTTCAATTCTTGATTTATTTAACCAATATCCAACAGTGTTGTTATTGGTGGTGCTGGATCGAGCTCGGTGGTGTGGGTGTTTGGAATCTATGACCAACTATTTTGACGTCTGTGACCAACTATAATTAAACTATGGTGATGGTGGCGAGCAATTGGCAGTGGACCAGTGGTGTTGGTGGCGGAGGTCTGTGACCAATTATTTGGTGTTTGTGACCAAGTATTTGATAGATTGCGACCTAAAATTTTGATAACTTATGATCGAAAAATAATATGTGACCAACAAATTTGAAAATATGTGACTGATAGAAAAACTGTAACCTATAATTTTCGGATCTGTGACCAACGAAATAAACTGTGACCTAAAAAACTTTTGATTTGTGGCATCGAAATAATCTGTGACCAATTAATTTGATAATATGTGATCAATAAATAAATTGTGGTCTATAATTATATATATGTGACCATTAATTATATAATTGTGACCTTGTTATATTTAGTTAATAAATATTTTTAATTAATTAACAAAGAAACCTGACTTTTGCATTTTGTAAACTTAAAACCTAATTTGTGAAGTCTCTATACTTAAAGCAGGATTTGTGAATTTTTCTCTTGATATACCCAGCAAGTTCAACCCAGCGAGTCAGAGACAGAGCCCTGGATTTTTCCCCAAATCGGCACCACGCACGCTGCACGCCTGCACGCACCAGTCTACCTTCACTCGTCTGCCGACTACGCCACTACCACAAAGGGCAGACGCTCGCAGATCGCAGTAACCAACAGACGACACTGCCACCGTGAGAGTCAAGAGGAGCAGGCGAGCGTCGAGCAGCACTCCAATCCAAGCGTCCAGCAGGCGGCCTGCACTCAGTCTCCGCACCGCAGCCAGCAAGCTTTCCTTCTCATGTCAAACTACCGGTTTTGAGGTTAAGCAATTAGCAAACCCTTTGTGAATTGTGACTTGTGAGTTCTTGTTCTTCCCCAGTTCCCCAATTCCTTCTCGGCACAGTGTCAGTATTCGGTCCTAAATTTAATGTTTAACTTGATACAATGATATTAATATGTAAATTTGAGGATATGTGTTTTGAGTTTTGAACTGGATGTCTGGATCGGAGAAGGGAGAACAATTCTCAATTTCTTATCTTAAAGTTGAATCACTTATTTATTAGTCATTACTTCAAAAATTAGGAATTAGACTATTAGAGCATAAACACCATCTGTTAGAGGCTATTACGGGATGGAGGGATCTGCAAATAAGGTGTAATTTAGGATAATTCGCTGGTGATTTCTGTGCTTTATTCCGAAAGCCGAAAGGATTCCTACTTTCATGCGGGGATTAATTGCTTTCCATTTAAATAACAACTCCTAAAATTATGGGGCTTTATTTCAAAATACATAGATGTGATTTAGGCATTTAGCTTAGAAGTTAGAATGTTATTGGATTCCCACTGCTACTATTGCCCATCGTAGTCATATCATGTTAAGGACATTTTGATCACTTACAAGTTTCAAGTGGTAAAAACAATGAA